CCCGGTTTCTTCTGATCTTCCTTGTTTGCATCTTTCTTGTTTTTGCTTGGTGACATAATGCAAGTAACCTCTACAATTTCCTCCATTCTATCCATGTTTTCACCTCTTGCCACTTCACACTCTGTCCCTGTCATATTTGGTGCTTCCATGTCATCTGCTTTATCATATTTCATATTTTCATAAGATATTTACCTTCAGTTTGATCCGCATTATTCCTCTCTGTATGTATCTCGGCCTCACATGTAGTGGGCCTTTCCTGTACTGCATTTTCTGAACCATCTGGGTGTGTGGTACCATCTGGATCTACAGCATCTTGGGTTATAGTCTGAGCAGGCAATTCTTCCCTTTCTACCCCATACCGGGTTGTTACTGGAACCTGACTTACTGTGACACTTTCTTCTCCTTCCTTATCTGCCTTTGAGCTGTGGATCTCACCAGAAAATTGGATCGCCGGGAAGTTTTCCTCATTAAAAATGTTCACCTTATCTACTTCCTCGGTGTGACAATCAATTGCCAAATGACCTTCATGCCCGCATTTATAACAAGTTTTCCTCTGTCCAGCATAAAGGAAAGTTAAATCATGGCCACCTACTGTTACTGATGATGGAATGTTGTTCTTTAAATTTACCTTGAAGGTTCTTGTCCCATTCAACAGTCCGGCCGCTGGTTCTTTTGTATACTTGTTCAGCCTCATTCCTTCCACTTTACCATATTTACTTATGATGTTCATTAAAATTTTATTTCCCATTTCAAAGGGAGCATCTTTAACTGATACATAAGTTAATGTTTTACTAAAATTCATCACTTTAACAGTCTCATCACTGTTAGGAATTCTTATAGTTATGTCTTCATATTCCTCACAAAAATTTTTCCAAAACCTTATTTTCCCCAAATATCATCACCATCTTATTGTTTCTTAATAGTTGAAAGCCAACTATGTGTTCCTGTTTTATTTTCAGAATGTCAAATATTACCTTACATACATTTACATATTCAGGCTTACCTGAAAACAACAGTCCGATAGAGTCTTTTCTTCTTAAAGGGGGTGTGTACGTCCCCATTTCGACTGTTTTGTTACGTCACTTGCATATGGTGTTCTCGGCCTGGTGAGGTGGACGGCCAATGCCACAAATTTTCCAAAAAACCTGGCAAAGTCCACCACCGCCAGAAATTTTCTTTACACCTACTCGTGCACTATGACTTCATGGACTTTGTAATAAACTTTGCGCTGTCAAAGGCAGCTGCAACAGCTGTATTTCCACGATAAAAAGAGAGCTTCACGAATGTCTGCTGTGCTGACTCCCGTTTTCTATCTAGTCTGATGCTAATATTCTTATTAGGTGAAAACTTCAAACATTTCGGAGTTTTATTCTCTTGTTTCTTACCAACAGACATCATTGTGGTATAGGTAAATAAATACATACAATAAAACAAGAATCACTGAGAGCTGATAATGAGCTATGTTTAGGGCCAGGCTAGTCGTATTCCAGGCAGCACCGAACGAGCGACGGGGTGGCTGAGCTGAGTGTCAAAGAAAAATGGTGTTAGGGAGTTCGTCAGACTGTGTTCATAGAGGCGTTAAATGTTGCTAAAGATTAGTAAGTATAGCAACAAACACATCTTCTGTCACAGGGTCGATCAGCCTCTTACCAGCTAAACAAAGATAAACACAGCTTCTGCCACAGGGTCGACCAGCCTACCTACCAGCTAAACAAAACAAACACAGCTTCTGTCACAGGGTCGACCAGCCTACCTACCAGCTGAACATAAACAAACACATCTTCTGCCACAGGGTCGACCAGCCTACCTACCAGCTAAACAAAACAAACACAGCTTCTGTCACAGGGTCGACCAGCCTACCTACCAGCTAAACAAAACAAACACAGCTTCTGTCACAGGGTCGACCAGCCTACCTACCAGCTGAACAAAACAAACACAGCTTCTGTCACAGGGTCGACCAGCCTACCTACCAGCTGAACAAAACAAACACAGCTTCTGTCACAGGGTCGACCAGCCTACCTACCAGCTGAACAAAACAAACACAGCTTCTGTCACAGGGTCGACCAGCCTACCTACCAGCTGAACAAAACAAACACAGCTTCTGTCACAGGGTCGACCAGCCTACCTACCAGCTGAACATAAACAAACACAGCTTCTGTTACATCCCCACCAATAAAACACCACTTAAAACTCAGCGAAGGATACGTATAAAAACAACTTTGATTGGACAAAGTCGTCTGCTGAGTGAGAGACACTGGCAGAGTTTCAGTAAAATGGGTTTACGGCAATTTACATCTGTCCTTTGCATCGCCTCATGTATAAGTTCCCAGCCACTCCGGAATAACAGTTCCTCTTTCTACCCTTCCCTCTTTTACTCGTCCATGTGTAGACTAACAGTGTCAGAGCACCAGACTAAATGTGTGTGGTGTGGTGGGAGAGGGTGAGTCTGACAGGATGTGGAGGTGGGGGCTATATGAGGAGTGGGGACGGAGGAACTACCATCAGGTCATCAACAATACAACAAAAATATTACCATGGAGCCTCGTGTGCCTCCTTGTACTGAAAATAGCTCCTTTATCTATTAAATATTATTATCCATAAGGTGGGAGTGGAAGAAAGAAGGGAGCGAGGGAACGGGCAGAAAACTGGGTGGTGCCATGACACACTTACCCGAGTGTTACCCGGGAGTTGTGCAGACAACTGTACCACCCCTCCCAAGGCTGGTCCTGGTCTGGTCCAGCAGTGTAGTAATTAATACGGTAATATTGGTTCGTGGATATAAACATAACCATAGCTTGTACTTATGTGAACTAAAGGCTGCTGCTGTTAAAGGAGAAGCAGGGAAACTTTGCCAGAGTTGTTTACCTAACTACAGGATACAACCCACATATATATATATATATATGTGTGTGTGTGTATGTGTGCTGATAACCACAAGGAAACAAGAAGTTCCCAAGCGCTTTCGTGTAATTCACATCTTCAGGGGTGAGAAATGGACCTAAAAGCTTTTCTGGTAGTTACCTTACAATAGTCAACAGTCAACAGGCATTCCCAGTCTCCTCACAACAGTCCACAGTCACGTCACAACACTCCCAGTCACCTCATGACATTCAACAGTCACCCCCAGTCTAGTTACGTCACCACCACCTGTGTTAAAAGACCCTTGGGATAAAGACACGGACGGACACTTTGTGAAGTTGTGACCCTTCAATTAATCACTACTACCTGGGGAGTGGGGTGGGGTGGAGTGGGGTGAGGTGGAGTGGAGTGTGGGGTGGGGTGGGGTGGGGTGAGGTGGGAGGGGGTGGGTGGGGTGGGGTGGGTGGGTGGGTGAGGGGTGGGGAGGGGTGGGGTGGTGGGGTGGAGTGGTGGGGGTGGAGGGAGGTGGGTGGGGTGGGTGGGGGGGTGGTGGAGGTGGGGTGGGGTGGGGTGGGGTGGGGTGGGTGGGTGGGGTGGTGGAGGGTGGGTGGGTGGGGTGGGGTGGGGAGGGGTGGGGTGGGGGGTGGGGTGGGGTGGGTGGGGTGGGGTGGGGGGGGGTGGGTGGGTGGGGTGGGGTGGGGTGGGGTGGGTGGGTGGGTGGGGTGGGGTGGGGTGGGGGTGGGGTGGAGGGGTGGTGGAGGGGGTGGGTGGGGTGGGTGGGGTGGGGTGGGTGGGTGGGAGGGGGTGGGTGGGGTGGGGTGGGGTGGGTGGGGGGTGGGGGTGGGAGGGGTGTGGGTGGGGTGGGTGTGGGGTGGGAGGGGGTGGGGGGGTGGGAGGTGGAGGTGGGGTGGGGTGGGTGAGGTGGGTGGGGTGGGGTGTGGGGTGGGAGGTGGGGTGGGTGGGGAGGGGGGGGGGTGGGGTGGAGGGAGGGGGGTGGGGTGAGTGGGGGTGGGGTGGGTGGAGGGAGGGGGTGGGTGGGGGGAGGGTGGGGTGGGGGGGTGGGTGGGTGGGAGGTGGAGTGGGGGGTGGGTGGGGTGGGTGTCGGGTAGGGTGGGGTGGGGTGGGGGTGGGGTGGGGTGGTTGGGGTGGGTGGGTGGGGTGGGGTGGGTGAGGTTGGGATGGGGGGTGGGTGGGGTGGGGGGTGGGGTTGGGTGTTGGGTGGGTGGGGTGGGGAGGGGTGGGGTGGGAGGTGGGGGTTGGGTGGGGTGGGTGGGGGTGGAGTTGGTGGGGTGGGGTGTGGAGGGGTGGGGTTGGGTGGGGTGGAGTGGAGTTGGGTGGGGTGGGGGGTTGGGTGGAGGGAGGTGGGGTGGGGTGGGGTGGGTGGGGTTGGGTGGAGGCTGGGTTGGGTGGAGGGGTTGGAGTTGGGTGGAGGGGTAGAGGGGAGTGGGTGGAGTGGGGTGGAGTTGGGTGGGTGGAGTGGGGGGTATGGGGTGGGAGGCTGGGGTGGGGGGTGGGGTGTGGTGGGTATGGTGTGGGTGGGGTGGGGTGGGGGTGTGGGGTGTGGGTGGGGGTGGGGTGGGGGGGTGGGGTGTGGTGTGGTAGAGTGGGTGGGGTGTGGGGCCTGTGGTGGGGTAGGGTGGGGTAGGGTGGGGTGGTGGGGTGTGTGGTGTGGGGTGGTGTGGGAGGTGGTGGGGTGGGGGGAGGGTGTGGGGGAGGGTGTGGGTGGGGTGTGTGGGGTGGGTAGTGTGTGGGGTGTGGGGGAGGTGTGGGGTGGGGGGTGTGGGGGTGTGGGGAGAGGTGTGTGGGTGGGGTGATGGGGTGGTAGAGAGGTGTGTGGGGTGGTGGGGGTGTGTGGGGTGTGTGGGGTAGGGGTGTGTGGGTGGGTAGAGGTGTGTGGGGTGGGGTGGGGTGTGGGGTCGGGTAGAGAGGTGTGTGGGGTGGGGTAGAGAGGTGTGTGGGGTGGGGTAGAGAGGTGTGTGGGGTGGTGTAGAGAGGTGTGTGGGGTGGTGTAGAGAGAAGTATCATGGGAATCAGCAGAACTAACACTCTGTAACAAATGTTGGAGAGCAGTATTAAACACAATATATTTTCATGTGTCTCATACTTGACACCCACTACTACCAAGGTATTCAAACATCATATGACATTCCTTTAATATGTTTTATTACAGCTTGAGTTGTCCTTGCATAATTAGAAAGACCTGTATTATAATTGCAAGATGGTAGCATTAGTATACAGTAGAGTACCAACATACAGCCTTTAAAGGAAGTAACATATAGTGCATATAATTATAAAATTTTGTTTGCAACTATTCTATATACTGTACTGTAATATTAGATTTCTGAATCTACCAGCCATACCTGCAGTTTGTGTTCACTTGTCTCATAATGTGTTCCATGTTTTTCAATGATGTCAAACTGCTGTAAAATTGGCCCCAAACTGCTATTGTCAAGTTCCTAATAATAATAAGCCAGTTCACATGAAAAGTATCCTGTGACCTTGTGTGACATTTGTGTACATGAAGGGTGACCATAAAGTTGATGTACAGGAGCCTTCTTAACGGAGATTCCGGCCCAGGAAGAAGTCTTCCCTAGAGCCTTTGAGTTTACAGTCTCCTGGCATCTTGCTTGGTGCTTAGCATTCACACAACTAATAACAAATTATGTCATATGACAAAACATTTTGTCATTTACTGTAAATGTTGTCAGTGTCAGCACTTGGGTGGTAACACCGCTTTAAACTCATGATTCAAGATGGACTGAAGTCAAGACACATGATATAAAATTAGACCTACTATCCACATTAACACTGGGTTTGGTTTAAGCACAAAATAAATTATTGTTAATTCTAAATTTTGGCATTCAATAATTTAAATAAAAATTTGTTCCTTAAATTCTAAATAATTTTGCCTATATCTTTTGTTTGTTAATTATTAAATAAAATTTAAAAGATACATATGATGAGAAGATATAAACTACATTAATTAAATCCATCAACATAAAATGAATCTATTTTTACAGGTTTACCAAACTACATTACCGGTATTATTCTACAGAATTTATATAATTGAAATAAAGTTCAACCAGGTAAAGATGGACCTACATCAATAATAATAAATGTGAGAAATATTAAATACCCTACAAGTTAGCACATGATATTTGAGATTCCATCATGACTGATAATCAGTACAAGTATTTGGTTTACATAGTCCCCCCATAACTAATTTGTGTCAAAAAGTTGACCAACTACTTACAGTATGCGAGTTACTTCAACAAATCAAGAGGGACTTCCGTAAAACATAGAAGACTAATCATATCCCATGGCAAAAATCAAAATTTTGGACACCGATTCTCAAAATATTACTCATTAAAAGCCCCTTCCAGTTGGTTATTAAGAATTTATCTAATTGGCTGACTTTAGTTACAGCACAAGAAAGCTTCCCAAATTATTAACATTTCGTTGAATCTCCAGCTAAGCTTGACACATTCTTTTATTCCCAGTAAGTAAAGATTATCTAATGAATCTTTGAGAATAAGGACTTTTGTTATGAAACCATTATCACAGCACATCTCAACCCAGCGACCACTCATGTACTACATCTCCAAAATATAATAATGGCATAATTATATTTTCAACAAGAACTAAATATGTCCATTTCTAAAAACCTTTTAGCTAACAGAACTAAATATATAAAATAATGGTACATCATCTGTTTAAACAACAACACATAATAATAATAATAATAATAATAATAATAATAATAATAATAATAATAATAATAATAATAATAATAATAATAATAATAATATTATTATTATTGTACAGCATTGTGAAATATTATTAACACAATAAAAGAATCAAGAGGACTAGAAATCAATAAAATTTCTTGAGAAAACCAAAACAAGAAAAATAGCAAGTGCATGTATGTTTATCAGTGCAGTACTACACTTAAACAAAATAAATGAGTGAACAGTATTTTAGGTAAATCAATGATTGTTAAGTAATCATTTAAAATATATACCCAGTATATTACATCATACAAGTTGTATTTACAGTACCTAAATTTAATTTAAAACAATTTTAAGTACCGATACATTTCAATCCTTCCAGTAACATGACTCACTGACCTTAATTTCAGTCCACCTACTCAAAAGTAATTTGAGGTTCAAATATAATGTCAATAATTAGGCTTCCATGTTGCATATTTGCCTGATAACCGATGAAAGTTTGCCCCTTGTAGTGTCAGTAAGTCAAAATGATCACATGAAACATACTTGCATTATTTCTCTCACTCACTCATTCACTCCATATAAACCCATAAATTGGAAATGTAAGAATTATGGAATGCATTGATTACATATGACATAAAACTAGGCAGTCATAGGCAGTTCATCCTTTAAATATAATGGTATACTTGATGTTTGAAAATTGACAAAATTACTGTCAGAGCTTCCTTTGTCAGCACAGATTTAATTCTCCATAATTGGTAACGTTCAAATTAAGGAGAATCAATTGGTTTAGTAGAGCATGAAATATACAATTAAACTTTAAATACTGTCATGTCACAATTCCTTAACCCATATGCTGGTGCTGTATAGAGACAATTAATCTTGAAGTGGCAAAATCCATACAATTATTAATAGCTGGTTGTGTTGCTGTTTGTAAATAATAAAGGTTTAAACTCTTAAGGCAAGTCAGAATCATGGTGCATCACACAATATATCATGCATTAACACCAGATTCATTGGGCAATCAATGAAAGTCCTAGATTACAACTGGCTATGCACACATTAATGAAGGTAACTGAATACATCTGCAAAAAATTATGATAACTGTACAGATTGAAACTTATTTAAATACTGTACTGAGTGTTTTTTTCTTCATATCCTTATGTCCTCAGCCAATAGGGTAATGATAGCATTTAAGGAAACATAATATATGGATCAAAGTAAAGACTAATAAAGCTGAGAGATTATACATACATGTTGGATAAAATGCCAAAACAATCACCATGAGCAACACTCCCAGGACAGAATGGAGGAACCTATTAAAAAGGATTAATGCCTCGGAAATTTTGTTTCATGATAATTTTGACAGCCACCCTTGCTTGCACTTTTCATTTCCATTTCCCATTACGAACCATAACTGTATTAACTGATGTTTAAGTACAAGAAAGTTAATAATTTTCTTAACAGTAATTACATCCCAATATCATACCATTATTTGTGTGTGTAAAGGCACATCCAAGGCATCCTATTTGCATTATACATCCCACAATCAGTGTTTCTTCACATAACAGTCTCTCATCACATTAAATCGAAAAGTAAATCTACAAAAAATTACATTCATAAGCCCATCTGCCATCATCTCAAAACGTATCTCAATATAAGTGCATACAAGTATTCATTCTTGATCCTCAATGTTTTACATTACTGTAGTTGAATATCATGTAGTATGATCATGTGAAGATTATGCACCCAAGCTTATTTCACCTGAATATCAACCACTCTAATGCTACCTGGGGGTTAGGATGTGGTGGGGTAGGGTAGGATGGGATGGGGTAAGGTAGTTAATCTTTAAGTAAAATCAATTGTGGTACCTTATCTTCACATGACACTATAAATATACAATAAAAACTTCTCTCTTAACTAATTGTATACTTATTCAAGATGATGAGGGGCAGGTAACAAATAACAAATCCTGTGGATATCCTACATACTGCAAATTGTGACCAAAAGGGATATGGGACAATACAATCCCAAACAAAGATTATGAAGGCCTCAGCATTATGAGATGTACACTCCTGTGTTACACAAGCTAGATGTAAATAAAATAAGAATTACAGAGATATGTAAATAACAGATACTGTACATTGGAGCTAAACTGCTCTTTTAAAGTTTAACTCTGTGATTGCAATATGAACACCTTCTTGACATAGTTTAATCTCTTCAAAACCTTATTTTATCATTCATGACTTATAACCTTCATTGTAGAAGATTCAGTTTTCCTTAATAATAGGAGTTATCAAAGAGTCTAGCAATGTGATAGTCCTTATTCACTTTATGTAAAAGTTTCGCCTTGATGCAATAGTTTCAACTCATTTATGTGAGAATTGAGTAAAGTTTTCTTACATACTGTATATTTTCCTACACCCAACAAGCTAACACATTGTATGGGTGCCACCACTTATTAGAGAATGATATAATGAGGCTCCTCTGTATTTACTTCTCATTGTAATAATGATAGTTATATAACTTTACCTATATCAACCTCACTCTATCCCATCTATAAGGTGTTGGAGGTGCACCAATCATCACCACCAAATCATACTTAGCCTTCTTCCAGTATTTTTTACCAGATGACTGCCCAAATAGCCACTACTCCAAATTGGCCTTAGTCCTAACATGCCCTAAACTTGCCTAACCACACCATTAGGGATTGAGGTCCAGTCCTAATGGGCATCAATATTAATGGTTAGGTCAAATCAGGTTGAGACATATTAGGATACGGGCCCATTTGTCCTGCAACTGTTTAACCACACAGTACTCGAGGGTTTTTTATATAAGTTAAAACACTGTACAGTGATACCTCCTCTAACCTTAATAATAGAGAGGAGGAAGTGTGCATTAAGCAGCTCTCCTTCAAACTTAAGAAATACTATTATCCTCTCATAATTACAATAAGTAATAATATTAGTGTAAATAATAAACAGTACAGTAAATGTTCATAAACTAAATGTAATAAAATACCAAATATTTATAACCATTAAAATTAAATCAAATAATTTATATTGTATATATATATATATATTAGGTATTAAGGTTGATAACACACATAGCTTTGATAATTGCGGGTTCAGTTTAGCCACTGCTGACACTCCTCCATTCTCTCTTATCTGGCACAATTCACTCTTGACCACACTTATCCAGCATAGTGCATTCTTGGTCATATTCATCAAATTTCACCACAGTCCTGCTCCAATACTTCACTCACTCTTGACACTTCCTTTGACCTATACATAAATAAAGATTAAATTATCCACAATCAACACTTCCTATTAGTGCTTACAAAAATGGATATTGGTGCATGTACTGATCATGGAGAAAATTTACCAATATAAAACAGAAAAAAATAGCTGAAAGCATAATTAGCTTTATAAAGGTGAGGTACATTTTGCTGTTAATAAAATCCATTGTTTTAAAACTAATGAGTGAAATGTCTATCTGAACCAATCTTGTGGTCTTCCAGATGTTTAGTCATCTTGGTTGCACTGCCACTGCATGATTACCTAATTCAGCACTTACTTTTTATCTTGAAGCCACTGACATGTAGAACCATATACCAAGACAATTTCTCAAAGTTATTTAATGTGGTTGATTCACAGAATACCATGCATATCACAAACTAGCACATGCATTAATATGAGAAAATTAAAATTTCTTACAGCAATATGTGTGGCTTCTACTGTGAAACTTCAGTGAGACAACTGCTTCAATGTGACACTAACTCTGTATCAACCTGACAAATGCCGTCTGTGTGACGCTGAACAGCACTGAGAGCCAAGACAGCCGCTCTTGTGTCTGTCATGACATCTCCAGCTAAACTCACCTCGTCCTCCCTATCATAACTTGCATATGGACTGAGATCATCAGTCAAACACAGAGCTTCATCATCATTATTTTCTTGACTGTTTAGAGATGTGTTCTCCTCGAGTACAGTGGGTTTGTTATCACAGGCATTTTCTTGGGGTTGTGTGTACCCTCCTGCTGCCAAGGGTGTGTGGCAGTCAGCATCTGCGGCATTACTGTGGCTTGTTGCACTTGAACTTGCATGGTGGCCAGCAGACTCTATATGACTGTTCTCCTCAGCCTCTTCTGCTGCACTGTTAACACTTGCTGAGGCAGAGTCATCATAATCTGAAAATAAATAACTTGATTAATGCACAAAGAAAATAAATTAAATAATTACTGTTAATAATTTTCTCTTTTAACCAACCACTGACAATATTAATATTCCTCCAGGCATTTTAACTTAATTCATTCTTGATATGTCTTTTACTGTATAGGTCAACAAATCTTTATCCAAAATCCAGAAACCAAAAATAATTTTAATAATCCCAACTGTATGTGAGCGTGAAGTCATACTTCAGAATATTTTGAATAAAATAATAACAATATTCTAATAAACTTTATATCAACTATTTAGTAAAATCTTTAGTTCCGGATAGCTGTGATGGTAGCTGCTCAAAGGCTTTATGTGACAAGGACTGGTGTATGAGTCAGAAGTGTGGACACTTTCAGTAGACACCAGAAAGAGATTGAAGGCCTTTGAAATGTGGTGTTATAGGTAAATCCTAAGAATAAGCTACACTGACATGAAAACAAATGAAGAAGTACTAAGATTGGCAAAAACTTGAAGAGAAATACTTGAAATGTACAGATAAATAGAAATGAGATACAGTACTTTGGTCATATAATTAGGGGTGAGGAGATAATAACAGAAATATTAATGGGTAAAGTTGAGGTTAGGAGGGCCAAAGGAAGACTGGGAGGGATGAGTGAAATTAAAAACTGGGTCCTCAGAGAGATACAAAATCTTCGAGTATTGGTAAAAAACAGGCCTAGAACGTTTAGAGTAGAGGACTGCGGTTGCCAACCCTCATACAGTATATGCGGACCTCCTCTACATCACACTGCTTAGTGAGCTACCATCACAGCTATCCATAACTAAAGATTCCCGAGCCTTTCTATCAATGATGGCCACCACTTAATTGTTAAGGCATAGATGAATACATAAAAGCTTTAAATGTTTAAACACAACCCACAAATACCTGTCTCTTGGAGGGGTGAGCTTATATCTAGCAAGGGAGCATCCTCTCTCTCTTCCATGCTCTCATCTTCACTGGAGTCTGCAATTGCTGATAACAAAGGTACGTCCTCGGTGTCTGCAGGCGGTGCTGGGTCCTGAGAGAAGCCAAAAGAATGCATAAGAGATTGGTGATCCTGAGAGAAGGGAAATGTATTCATATTGTATCTATGTTTCTTTCTCGTCTTAGTAGTCCCAGAGACTATCACAGAGAATTCATCTGTGAGGGAAACAGAAAACTTTCATGTGGTTCTTGCCTCAAGTGTCAACTAAGAAAGGACATGTGCATATAGAGGGAGAAATAAACATACCAGTACCTGTGGACCCGGAGTATACCCTGGACATACCTATGGACTAGAGTGTCCAATGGATATACCACTGGTCCTCAAGAATTCAATAAACATATCTGTAAACCTGAAGTATGCAACAGATTTACCTGTGGACCTGGAGGGGACACTGGGAAGAAGGCGCCAACCTTAGCTCTCTCCTCACTCTCTTTCTCCTCAGTGGTGCGTCTACCTCTTGCTTCACCTGCTGGTTCAACAGAGAAAGTCATAACTCACACATTCACTTCCATGCGTTAATGAGTACAATAACTGTGATTTGTAACAAACTCAATTTGGTTTAAAAGAATTAAAAAGATATCTCTAATTTCCTTCAACAATGAAATGTCAATTACTCCATGGGTATATAGTGGATTCAAATTAAAAAAAAAAACATTTCAATGTGTATGCTGTACAATAGTCAACGCTTCCAGAAAGTTAGTACCATACCAGTAAAACTAGCTCTTCGAGATGTGTGTCCTGTTCCTGCATCATAAGTATGTGTTGAAAGAGGAGCACCTTGAGTTCGAAGTGGCGCGGGTAATGGGGGCAACATTCCTTCTGGAGGTGCCGGAGGTCGTCTACGTTGACGTCTCCAGTGCCGGCTCAAACTACCACCGAACAGTCTGCAAGCATCATCAATAACTTCAGTTTATTACAGCAATAAAGGAACCACAATATCAACTACCCTTTCATATCCTATACAAAAATGCAATGGATATTTTTCACTCTGTTTGTACACTACCGGTAAAGTACTATACATTCTCTCCCTTTTCTACGATGAACATTCTCCCTCAAGCATCCTTATCCATGTACAACACACACTCATATACTCCTTTGCTATATTTTTACACCCCATCTTTGTTTCTCCTCTACTATTTAACTCTATGCACTTCTTCTGTCAATGATCCCATGTTTTTTCTTTACTCAAACACCAAATATTCATCACTTCTTATTATTATCTAAATCATCATGTCACAGTATTCCTTTCTATATCTCCAAGTATTTCCACTTTTCATACATTTCTTAATTACTGTACTCATATTACATCCTCTTTTCCAACCCACAAGAATGAGAAACACAAGGTCCTCTTTACCACAAGTGAGATGGCATATCAGTGACAATATATACTCACAAGGCTGAAGGATCATTAACAGCCACAGAGTATGAAGGAGGTGGCTCCCGCTGTAACAAGTGTTGCTCGAGACGGGAGAGAGGTGCCAGTGGGGTGGAGCGTCGACCAACTCTTTGGCCATGGTGTTGTGCCCTGCCAATCCCCATGCGCAGTGCATACAGGCGACAAGTACACCCAACGGCAATTACCAACAGCAGTGAACATACCAGCCCACCCATTGCTGCTGCCACTATTACAGAGTTCTGGAAGGAAAGGATAAGTGGAGGTAGTACAAATTATCTCTGGAATGATGACTTAAATCAATAGAATTAGTGAGAACCGAATTAGTTAAATTTCTTTATATTAAGACAAAGCTCAGCTTTATAAAGGAATTTCTAACATCAAACACAAAAATATGGAGATATACTTACTCTCAAGCAGTCCTCTTCATCACTAACATCTCCACAGTCATCAAACTGATCACATCTCCAAGCATCACGTATGCATCGCCGATTTGCACAGAGGAAAGCTCCGTGCTGAAAACAAAAAATTAGAAGCTCTTATTTCAAACTCATCACTTGAAATAGAAATGTGAGATTGATGCTGAAATCTCGGAGTACAACTAAATAAGGCAACTCCTGAATATGCCTGCCATCACAAGAACCCTGGTCTCCAGATAAATAAGGTCTTATACATAGTGTACTTTAAGCTTTATTGATTAGCGATTCACAGTTCTGGATGTTAATTTTAATCTAAATGGGGATACAGTACTACTGACCTCAAAAGCGACATAAGGCTCAACAAATGTGTTCCATTATCACATGTTAAGAAAGAGACTCTGGGTTAACATAAACATTACCTGAGGGTGACATAACTCTGGGGTACAGTTATCTTCATCAGAACCGTCGCTGCAATGTGAGGCTCCATCACAGCGCTGGGAAGATGTGTAGCATCCTCCACCATTATTACACGGGATCATGTGCCGACAATGTCCTCCTATCACACATTAAGTTAACATCAAAACATAAAATTAATTATCTTAAACCACTAAAGAATAAAGTCACAAATTACTTTCATCAACGACATTACTTACGAAACAACCAAAAATTATTGTTGCATCACAATCTACATCAAGAGAACTCAAACTGAATGTTCAAAATTAAAATCTCCCTCTTTCATTACTATACTATTTGTCAATTAATCCAGCATCTTAACACTGAAGTTACTGCCATTAATTTAAACAGTACTGTATACATGTATAAATATATCATATATACTGTAATCTCAAGTCTTCCTCCCTCCCAACTAATATTTTTAAATGAAGGAACATTAAACAGTGGTAATATTATAACAATCTTTTCCATACCACAGTCAATTTCATCCTGTCCATTTGGGCAGTGGAGCACACCATCACATCTCTGTGTCTTGGAATCGTAACAGAACTCAGAGTTTGGTCCACAACGAGTTCGATTAAAGCAACCTGAAATGCCAAAATGCAATCAATAATAGAATGGTATGTACAGTCGGGAACAAACGTTTGCTCTCAGTGATGAAACTGAGTCACGGAAATGAGTCTCCGAATTTACTTACCCTGACTGTTTCATCTCATTTGGGATCGATGCTGCTTCATTTTGGGCAGAAGCAAACTTTTGACCTCGACTGTACAGACACCTTCCACAACAGTTACATTGCCAGACCAAAATATCAGAGAGAATAAGAACTTTTTCCCCTTTGTTTAACAAAATAAGACATTATTTTGGATTTGCAGCTTGATTTTAATTGACTATGTCCAGTTTTGAAGAATGTGTGACATCATCATATCTCACACAATTTCCCTTCACTTGCTGTTACACAATCATTACTACTGCTATAAAAGATGTGTTCTGCTATAATGAAAGCTTGAAGGAGAAAATAATAAGTAACCAAATAAGATAATGTCTTGGAAAACAGGGAAAGTATCAAATGAGTGGTCTAACATTATAATAATACCCTTGTATGCAGGGAAAGATAGTAATGAAGAGTGCAAATACAATAGGAGAATCAACCTACTGGGGAGGGAACAGGGGGATGACATACTTCTACATTAACAAATCACAATAAAACATACATAAGATTGGAATGAATCAGAATGCTCTAAGGTTCTAGTACCAGGAATGACTTACCTGATGAACGCACTACAGTATATGCCTCTAACAGATTCAGTGTGGTCGTAAACAGTAAGGTGTACAGGATATTTGGAATGACAGAAAAGGAAGAGAGAGTATATTGCTGGGTTGAGGAATGTAATGGGCATGTGAGACAGTTGCAGGAATGTAGAGGGGCAATAGAGGTGGTGTGCCGAGTGGATGGAGGGAAACCACTGACATCATGGGAAGAAAAGGTGGAACAACATATAGAGGAAAGAACGGGGTAGATGAAGGAAATACATAGAACAAGGGAAAAAAATTGTAGCAATAAGAAGGCCTGGGAACTCTCTGTTGTGGTCATCCCCTCAGTGGGGTGTTAACTAAGGAGTCACTGAGGCATCACAGGCAAGATTACTTACTACAATATTTTTCGTCAGCTCCATTCCGGCAGTCTGAGATATTATCACAGCGCCTTGATGCCTTGTAGCACTCAGTCCCTTCCCCACACCACCATTCATCAGCATCACAACCTGAAATATTAAAATTCATGTGTTTGTTTCTATATACAACATGATGCATACTGTTTAGTAATGGAGTATAGTACAGAAATGTAATCTCCTCTATACTGTGTGGTGGTACACCACCACACATCCCTCTTACTGATATGCTTTCTAATTTTTTTTTAATAATTTTAAAATACATGTACAATATATCTTCAAAATCAATCATTCTATCTCAGGTTGAAAATAAAGATGGCATTTGTCCTAAAAAAAAGAAAAAAGGAAAATCACTCTCCCTCTGAAGGTAACATATCATCATATGCTAATGCCAAAATTTCTGAGTCCAACTTGGGCCAAAACATTCATGAATAAAACTGGAAAATGCTCACTATCAAACTCACTCTAGATATTCATAACATGAGGCTGTATATTAAATTTCTTTTTATTCAAAGAAATCTTTCTCAAGTTACCGAGTAGAAGAGAATGTTGCAGGGCAGGCAAAGAAAAGTTCAATGGAGGCAAATATTCTGTGACTCTCTTGTATAATGCGTAATATTATACTGTACTGTATACATAACAATGGAAACCTAAAACATCAGTCAGCAGAGATGAAAACAACAAAAATACACTATACAGTACCAGTATACAGATGATTCTGTTGTCCAGTATATATAAGTACAGCACATTACAGCTCCTCCCCGACTTACGACCTACTCGACTTACGACCACCCGGACATACGACCGCCTCAGTCGTACCAAAATTTTGTCAAATTAAGTATTTTCGAGTCCAAATGTCAGTGACTGCGCTGTGTGCTGACAAAAAAAATTTTTGTAATACACTTTAAAATGGCTAGCAAGCTTAAAAGTGAGAGTTTTGTGGTGCTGAGAAGAATAAGAGACACCCATTTTAGATTTTCTATGTACAGTATTATTTAAGCATTTTCGATTTACGACCATTTCGACTTACGACCTGGATTTGGGTCCCTAACCCCATCGTAAGTCGGGGAGGAGCTGTATTATGTATTATTTTCCAAGTGCTATAATCTATCTCAAAATAGTGTAAATTAACTCAGGAAAAAGGAGGAGTTACTAGAGAAGCAAGATGAGGATGTTGTGGTGTAATTTGGGAGTGTAGCTCCTGGACAGGTTGAGATGTGAAGATTTTAGTGAAAGACCAGGAAGACCGGTAAGGTGAGAGGGGCAAGGCTAAGGAGGTCTGGTTATGTGGTGAGAAGAGGAGGAAAAAGAAGAAGAAGACAACTCCAAACCTCTGGGAATGGCTAAAGGAAGAAGTAGACTGTAAACTGATATTTCTAAATAATGTTGGTGCAGTAGCTACAGTACATACCAAAACAGCCTAACTCATCTTCCCCTTCCTGACAGTGCCACCGTCCATCACAATGTTGGCTGTCTGTCATGCCAGCACAACCAGCTAGAGGAAAAGGAAAAAGAGTACTGTAGTATATAACGAAAAGAAATAGTACAAACTAACAATTAAATAGATCTATTTATCAGTGAAAAAGATTCCGATGATAATACACACATCGTCACTTCCCCAACTAAAGTTCAGCCATATGTAAGAGAGAAAGCACAGAAATTTGTCTCTTAAGGTTGTATTTGTAAAGGCAACTTCTTATCTTAATGTTAAACTAACCAAGTTCCTCATCAATTATTCCTTTCATACATACAGTAGGCTCTCACCAATAAAGTTCAATAGGTGCCTGAAAAACACCGTTATTAGCGAAAACGTTATTTGTGTGACATTAAAATACATGTAAAAAGGGTTTATTGGTGCCGCTGCCACAAGAATTTCACCCATTTTTTCCCCTTGAAGCCCTCCTAACACTTTTTGTTAGCTGAAATAAAAAGAATTGCTATTCAATCATCAAAATAAAGAGTTTGAGTAATATAACACTTAGCTTGGGGGAGTTTTTGAGGTGCTTTGTGTGATGATTGTTCCGTATCTGAGGGTCACTAACACTTGCACTGTCTTTCATTCTACAAGCTAACCATTTCACAAGAAAATGCTCTGTTATCACTAACAACCTGTTTCTATCGCCTTTATCATTCATAGCTCGCCTCGCATTTCCATCACTACCGAAATATTTTTAGCCAGCACAATACTTTTCTTGGTCTCCTCCAAGTTCCTCTTAATAATTTGCACTGTAGACTCAGGACAGTTCAATTTCCTCACTTTAAAAATTCCCAGTCATTCAGGTGGCAAATCACTCCCTCCTCCACCTCCCCTAGCCCCCACAGGCAAAAAATGCGAAAGCCATTATTGATCACCGACCCTAACAACCACTGGTTATAGTGGCGAAAATCTCACACGTGGGCACAGCGCTGTATTCCACTGAGCGTGTGTGAGAGTGAGGCGGAGTGGACAACTACGTCATCAACATGGCGGCAAACAAACACTATCATTGATGCGCTCGGACGCTTCCCGCGAAATTTCCGTTATTCAAGAGAATCCAGACGTTATTATCGAAAATGGGTATCTATTGTAACTTACCGTTATTGTCGAAAACGTTATTGTGGAAGTCGTTATTGGCGAGAGCCTCCTGTATATTCATTAGGTCATCTGGTTACCTAAAATTGACTCAAAACTTCTATCTAAAAATGCTGTACTGTACTATCTTTTACAGATTAATCATGAGCCAAGGATTCATTTAAAGTCGGGTTCCAACTCACAGCTGGATGGATTGTACGTGTCCCAGTCATGACTCTTAGGATCAGATGTGAGCAATGTAACTTGAGCTCAATAGAAAAATATATATTTGCTTCCTATAATGGAGCTGTTACAATATAATAAGTATAATTATAAAATGTTCACATCTGTTCCGCATCTCTACAAAGAAAAAGACATACTACCTGTAGTCAAATCTAAACCCAAGCCTTCCCCCATGGCACTGGTCTAATGTAACCTAATGTCTCTCCTCTTAGCCTCTAACACCCTAATTGGTGTATTGTGTCACTTTGTTCACTAATACTATGACTGTTAACTCACCTCCACAACTGGTTTCATCAGACGAGTCAGGACACTCAGCCTGACCATTACATTTCCAAGAGTCAGGAACACACAGTCGAGGATTCACACAAGTAAATTCATCTGATCCACAAACTGTCTCGTTATTGCCTTGAAATAAAAGACATATAAATCAGAAATCACAACACAAACCATATTATACATTAAAAGTTCAAGACGAACACTTGCTAGCAAGTCAAATTTTGCATAACACAATTGTTTTACAATAAAGATCATGATATCATACAGTATACAGCTCCTCCCCGACTTATGACCTATTCGACTTACGTCCACCCGCACTTACGACCTGCCTCAGCCGTACCAAAATTGGGTCAAATTACGTATTTTCGAGCCCCAAAGTCAGAACACAGACAAAATTTTCATCTGTAATTCACTTTAAAATGGCTGGCAAACTTAAAAGTGAGTGTTTTGTGGTGCTGAGAAGAAAAATAGACCCCCATTTTCGATTTTCTATGTGTTATTTAAGCATTTCCGACTTACGACCATTTTGACTTACGACCTGGATTTCGGTCCCTAACCCCGTCCTAAGTCGGGGAGCAGCTGTATATGAAAGCAAGATTAGCAATACCATTTGGGTGAATAGGAAAGTTATCACTAATATTTGTTCCCAAATATTCTACTTACTTATCTGATACTGCAGTGAAAAGTCCAGATGGCTGGTGTCAGCTACAGTGTCAGAGTAGAACTTTATGATCACCCTTGAAGCTTTGGTAATCACAGGAGGTGGGGCTGAGTTGCCACATATATGTCCAGTGGTCTTTGATTCTTCCACAGTAGTGTGAACATTTAAGTCCTTGTTTGTTTCAGTGTTACTATTCTGTTTGGTTTGTGGTGTCTGTGGGTCACGCAAATCTTCAACAGCAGTATTATCAACACTCCAAGGATGACTTTGCCGTTTTCTGTCAATTGAAAATAGCGTAGTCAGATCTTTGTTGTGTCGCTTATCGTGTGAGGTCCTTCTTTTATTGCCAATAAGGTTTTCACCAGCCTTCCTTCTTCTATCTCTCCCAACAGTTTCTCTCCTCCTTTTTGTGCTGTGTGACTCCTTCTTCACCTCATCATTATTAACTTGACTGAGTCGCTGTTTTGCCTTGCCTATGTCAGTCTTGATCATTAACCATTGATGTGGACAGCACTCATGTGATTTTTTACCACAGTTTTTGTCTTCATCTAAGTTAAACTTGCTAAAGCTGTAAAAGGATTTTTTTTTCAAATATAAAAATGCCAAGTGCAGTACAAAATGTACATCATAAAATACTGTAGTATGTAACCAAATGTATAGTACTGTAATATGTACCACATGGAAGCAAGAAAACACGAAGTTCCTAAGCGCTTTCGTGTAATTCACATCTTCAGGGGTGAGTACAGACTAAGGAGAAATACTTGACAAGGCAAATATATATAGTAGAGGAGAGTGAGATTAAGTCCCTAGGGGACCATAGGTGTCCACAAAGGTCTGGTCATTAAGCAGTGACCCGACTAATCTTCATAAGCACAGCAGCTATCCGTAGTCAGGTCATAGGGTAAGATGGCCCAACCTTCTCACCTGGTTACAAATCTTCTTAATTACAAAATTATCCAGTTTGTACATACCATTACTCAAATTCATGTTGACGAATTCGGTATGTTTAACAAAGTTCCCAAGCAGGGGTCCACAATGTTCCGGTTATAAGGCAGTGACCCTTACTAACCTTAAGTCTCTATTGAGAGGTAAAGCTAATCTCATTAAACATTTTCCTTCAACGTCCCCTCCACTGCCATACATGTATGGTCTAATCAAGACTCACAAGCCTAATAACCCTGCAAGACCCATCATTAGCTCAGTTGGGTCAACCTCTTATATGTTATCTAAATGGTTAGTTTCCTTACTAAATCCCCTAATTGGCAACTCTTCTGACTCTAATATTAAGAATAATATGGATCTGGTTGATATACTCAATAACTTACACATTAATTATGATTTTAAACTGGTCAGTTTTGATGTAGCATCACTCTTTACAAAGGTCCCAGTTGATGATTTACTGGAGTTCCTCACAGATGCCCGTCTCAAAAGATGACTTCATCGAACTCATCAAACTATGTATTAAGGATTGTAAATTTGAATTCAATGGAGAATATTATGCTCAAAAATTTGGGATGGCAATGGGTAATCCACTCTCATCAGTATTAAGCAACTTATATATGGAATTCTTTGAGAAGAAACTATTAAGTAATATTTTACCACCTTCAGCAGTCTGGTTTAGATATGTAGATGATGTAATATGTCTTTGGCCATGTAATGAGGACCTAAAAGCTTTCCTGCCACAACTTAATAACTTAGCCCCCTCGATCAAATTCACTGTGGAATTAGAGAATGACTGCAAATTACCATTCCTAGACTGTCTAATCCACAGAATAGGTAACACCTTTAAGTTCAGTATTTATAGGAAACTTACTAATGTGTGTTCATACATAAATTATTATTCTGCCCACCATAATAGTCAAACAGTCAGTATTTTCATCAATGTTTTTACGTGCTCTAAGAATATGCAGTCCGGAATTCATTGATGAGGAATATAAATATATCTATAATATTGGCTTGAACCTTAAGTACCCTAGATCTTTTATAGACAAATGCCTTAACATTACTAAGAATTTTTTTTATAAAACTGATCCTAAGCCCACCCATGACAATAAGAATCTCTTAGTATTACCATTTAACAAAAATCTCTCAAATTCCTATACAACTGAAAACCTGGAACATTAATGTGGCATTTAAAAACTCATGCACTGTAAAACAAATGTTAATTAAGAACTCCCCCCAACAATGCAGGCTGCTGCATTTACAAGGTTTCTTGCAAGGAATGTAATATGTTCTACTTAGGCCAGACAGGTAAAGATCTTGTAACTAGACTTAAACATCATAAATATAGTGTTAGGACGGCCAGGAATCCAATGCTCTGTTCATTCATATAAGAGATAATAAGCACTGCATTGACTGGGATAATGCCTCCTCAATATTACCTTGTAATTCAATTGTCAGTAGGAACATTATAGAATCCAGTCTCATTAAACATACTGAATCTGTCAACATGAATTTGAGTAATGGTATGCACAAACTGGATAATTTTGTGATTAAGAAGATTTGTAACCAGGTGAGAAGGTTGGGTCATCTTACCCTATGACCTGACTACAGACAGCAACTGTGCTTAGAGATGGCATGGTCAATTTCTTTGGATTAAGAAGATTAGTAAGGGTCACTGCCTTATGACCAGAACATTGTGGACCCCTGCTGTCCCCTAGGGACTTGATCTCACTCTCCTCTACTGTATATATTAGCCTTCTCAAGTATTTCTCCTTAGTCTGTACTCACCCCTGAAGATGTGAAATACATGAAAGCGCTTGGGGTGAGGTGTTGATTATACTAAATATATATATAAATATGTATATATATATATATATATACAGTGTATATATATATATATATATATATATATATATATATATATATATATATATATATATATATATATATATATATATATATATATATATATATATATATATATATATATATATATATATATTTAGTATAATCAACACCTCACCCCGCCAGGATTAGAACCCACGGCCCACGACTGTGACCGGGGAACGCTACCTCTGGACCACCAGGATACTTAAAGCAGTCCTAGACTCTGTTATATTTCACACAAAGCCTGTTCAACGAGCTTATGGCGCCATGAACCTCTAATGGGGACTACCCGTATCACTTAGGTGGTCAGAGTAACGTTTTACCAAATCCGGCTTCGAAACACGAAGCCGGATTTTATATATATATATATATATATTTGGTATATATATATATATATATATATATATATATATATATATATATATATATATATATATATATATATATATATATATATATATATATATTTGGTATATATATATATATACTATATATATATATATATATATATATATATATATATATATATATATATATATATATATATATACATATATATATATATATACATATATATATATATATATATATATATATATATATATATATATATATATATATATATATATATATATATATATATATATATATATATATATATATATATGACAAATCTCTCATTATAAAGCTTCCTCCAAAATGGTTCACCTTAAGATGACAGTGTCTTGGTAAGGATTTTGAAGGACCCAGGAGCAGGAGACACGGGTAGGTGGAGCTCCTGGGTAAAGGGGGGAGGTGATGGTTCCTGCAAGGGTGATGAATTGGGCTGCTCCTCCCTCACATGCTATCTTGTTCACAAGTATACCATGGATGTTGCCCTCTGCTATAAATGATGCTAATACCTCTGAAGAAAAAAAAAAGACTAGATATTAGTTACAAATTCCTAAAAGCAGAAGTTCTTCAACTTAATAGAAATAATTAAATCTACCTAACAGCCACAAGTAGTACAAAGAGTCATGGTACAAAGGCTGGTGTCCTGTGTAAGGTTCCCCAGTTATTTTTATTAGTCTTGCAAGGGGTTAGCTATATTTAAGCCCAGCTGTGTATTTGCTTCCACCACTTTTGCATATTAAACTCCAGCAGGTGTACAGTATATCTACGTCTCACCTGCTAATATTATGACCAACACTGGTTGCCTCATCCTGAAGTTCACTACCACTACCTGCTGGCAACCATCAGGAAGATGTGACCACTGCCCTCCATGCCTCAGCTGGCATACACATCTGGCAATTCAAGAAACATCATATATTAAGGAATTTCTGCTTTGAGAATCAGACTTCAGACTCGAATCCAAATTAGGTTAGGTGAGGGTGTTTCTCCATGTCTTCAAGATAACACTCAATTTCAATCTGAACACAAGTCCAGGTTTTAAAAAATGAACTTCTCATTAATCATGTACATGTGGAGATTTATATGCAGCAAACTAGTTCTGAAACATCATTACTATTAACCGAGAGCGGAGAGTCCAATAACAACCAAAGTAACTATCATAAAACTTCCAATGTTAGCTCGTACTGTTACTTTAAAGTACTGTGTACTGTACCCTACATCACATATAATAAATGTACATGTATGTATCATGTATATATATATATATATATATATATATATATATATATATATATATATATATATATATATATATATATATATATATATATATATATATATATATAAAAGACTTAACAAGTATAAAAATAATTACTGTAGGACCTGTAGAGGATCACCTGAAGATTAGGCACCCCAGTCTATTTCAAGAGATGATTAAATAGCATAATGTTAACCTGGATGAACCAAACCTAATTTAAACTATCCCCTCCAGGTGGTGTTATAAGTGTTTGATCATCATGAGAAAAAGCTGCAGTGCTAATCTTCAGGTGATTCCATGTAGATCAAACATGACACAATATTTCTGACCAAGACAATATGGTACAGTACAGTAATGGTTAAAATCATTAGTAATACTCTACTTTAATTACTGGAATCATTTGACGGGGTCTCACTGATACAGTAGTAATTTCTCTTAAGGAAAATATGAACCTAAACTCAAAAGAATTGTGTTTTAATCTTCACACAAAGCAGAAATCTGATGTACAGTACACAAATGTGGCACAAGTGTTCCTTCTCACAAGTTGGTTATCTACACTATAACATTAACATCCTAGCCAAATTTATACTAACAAAAATAGGTTTCTCTTATGTTTTAATGGCGATTTAAAAGAAGGTGGCCTTTATTTCTGGCACTAGTGGTATTTATGGAGATATGACAACGGTTTTCACAGAGTGGGCAGGACTTAAGGGAAAATGTGGTCTTAAAACACTAAAAAACACACCAGTCAAATCTTTAGCAACCAGACCTAACTTTTCCTAATCTAAATTAAGACCAAATTTCACAAAAAATAATTACTTATTTAACCTTTATGGGGAGCATAAAGTGAAGCTACTTGTAACATGAAATGCTTGTTAAAATACAATGCCAAATGTGTTTATCTGACTATAATAAAAATGTTCACTACAGTTTGGACATTTCACTGAAGTATATATGCAATACCGGGTATACCATGTGCTTTGAAAATGTTAATAACAGTATCATTACTCTCCAGAACATACTGAATGGTTTCCCATACATTCGTAGAGCACCAGTCACACGTGGATGCCATAATGCGAATGAATATTTCTTGATGAATTGTTTGCTCGTACGTAAATCTCTCAAGTGATAAGGTACTGCACCGACCCCTATTTGTTCAAAGCTGATCATGTGAAGCTCAAATGAATGAGAATTACAAATAATATATCCCTTAAATCAGGCAATAGTGAACATAAAACCTGTCAATTTTGTTGTAACCTGACCCTGTCTATATCACATACTTAAGAAGTAAACACGTCTGGTTTAGTACGAAAACATGCAAAAAACATGAAGAGAATCGCTTAATGCTCTTCCATCAGATAATTATACACAGTAATTTTACAGTACATATATATACAGTATATTTATATATATATTTTTTTTTGGGGGGGGGGAGGGGATTACTTTTATTTTAAGTTAGGAAAGGTTAGGTCAGGTTGCCATGTGTTTGATTGGAGTTTTTTTTTACTGTTTTAACACCACATATTCCCTCGTCTTTAAAGCTCTGTCCACTTTGTGAAAACCTTTGCTGTATATTCATATATATTCATTAGGGCCAAAAATAAAGGTCATATTCTTTTAAATCACCACCAAAAAATAGGAAAAGTCTGTTTTAGTTAGTAATTTCAGATTATTTACTCAACTAATTCTTTACCTTAATTTGTTTTCACTTATTGGAGTTGCCTTCTTTTCTTACTACCACAACCATATTTATATCAATTTGAATGATGAACAAACTTAAATCCTATGAAATGAAGTCCCATATTTACTGTATTCTTACATTTTCTCTGATAATTCCTAAATTTCTTGTGTAACAGAGAGTGACTCTGGCTATCACCATAAGATTACAAAACAATTTAAGCAAAGGTTTCATGTTTTCCTGCTAACTTCCATTTAATACGGAAATGTTTTTATAAGTAAAGCTACTATATAAAAAATACATACCTGATTCGAGATCAAATATCTGAAGCATAATTCACACCCAATTACAATATATAGCAGTAAACTTGATGTGAGAACCTGTGCTGTCTTCCCTCACCCTCACGTCAGCTGCACCAGGTAAACACTGCCTGAGACTGTGGCCAGGAGGCGGATTTAAGTTCAGATTTCTTTTTGCTACAAGATGAAGGTTTATTATATGAATGGTATATTATCTGTGATCTCTAGTACAGCAGAGAAGACTATGCTAAGTACGGTAAACAGTTAAGTCTGATTAATTCACAAGTATGACAATAGAGCCCAATTATTGTTATTCAGTAAAAAATAACATCAACAATTTATTCTAGTTTTATTGACCTGTAGTCAGTTTTTAATGTTTATTGTTTGTTCTTTGTTTTCTCGGAAATTATATCACGCTTGGCAATACTGGTTGATCAGTGGGATATGTTCAGTAATGTGTAAGGAGACGAGATACACCCTTGAGTAACCTTGAGCTAAGAATCCGGATGCAGTTTGTCGATTTATAGAGTCTTGGTAACACTGAGGGACGCCAGGTAATTACTTCTGTGTCTCATCGATGAATGTAAATTATTAAACAAATTTAGGTAGGGAAGGTGTACGGTGGGAATAGCATAATATACAATTTTATCAGTCACCTTATAGGACTTGGGACAGTTCAGAGTTCTTAGCTCTTATAATTTTTAATTGTTGATGGATTAGTGTACTGTGCAATTACCAACTACTGTATATAGTTCCGCCATTTACCTGCTTATGATATAGTGGGTTCCATCTTCACACGTGGTCCTCAGATACGGTACAGCTCCATACGCTTGTTAGGAGGCGTCGCAGAAGTGGTGTAGTTGCACTGTGCAACTTGCACAGCAGCCACTGGATTTGCATACTCGGGTCGGTAGCACCGTGGAACGTGTACCCATGATAGGTGAGGAAGTTCATCCAGCCATCTTCGCCATGCCGCCCTGTTCTGTTCAGCCATTCGTTCATCCCACCCAACACCTCGTCTCCACTCATCTTGAAATATGATTTTGGCTCTTATGACGCTTGGAGCGATGAGTCCCAGTGGGTCATATATGGAGCTGACCATACTCAGAAGGCCTCGTTTCATCCCCGGTTTCTTAGGGATCTGGACCTGGACCGCTAGTTCGTCCTTCTCCAGGTCTCACAAGATTCCCAACGCTCGTTCAGTGGGGAGCCTGTCGTCTTTCAAAATTACTTCCTTTATTTCCACGGCTTTCTCTGTCTGTGGAATTGCCTTGAGGACTTTCTTGTGGTTACAGACCCACTTCGTAAGTCTGAATCCGCCCTTCTTCATCAGCTGTCTCAGCCGTTGAGTAATTATCGTTGCCTTCCCCGGCGAATCTACTGAGAGAAGCAGATCGTCAACGTAGAAGTTACGATTCGCTTTCTTGTTGTCGTCATGGAGACTTTTCCCGTAATCTTGGAATGTTTGTTGTAGCGCATACCCGGCACATGAAGGGCTCCACATACCTCCAAAGAGATGTACTGTCATTCGGTAAGTGGTGGGGGCCCCTGACAGCTGGTCGTCCGTCCACCACAAGAATCGTAAGACGATTCGATGTTTGGGTACTACTAGCACTTGGTGGAACATCGCCAAGTACAGCCAGACTAGATCGCCAAGCATAAGTAGTAGCTGATACTGGTGTGTGTGTCACAGTGTGTGTGTAAATAAGAAGTAACAACGAGTGAAGTGCCCTTTCTGTTAGAAAATAAAAGGTTATGACAGCTAAGTAACGTTGTGTAAGTAAGGGCGCTGCATTAGTGTTTGTGACATCAGCTGTATAATGAGTCCCTACATTGATTGTGGAGTCTCTGTGGTCGTGTTAGTGTGACATCACTCGTGCGTAAGGCACGTCACGTGTTTACGGGACATCGCTCGTGCGTATGGCACGTGTTTCTGTGACATCACTGGTGCGTATGGCACGCGCTTGTGTGACGTCACTCGTGTGTATGGCACTGTTTGTGTGACGTCACTCGTGCGTTTGTTACGAGTCAGTGTGACATCAACTCCAATTGTGTGATATCAGCGATCGTGGGACGCCATCATAAGTAGTAGCTGATACTAAGCGTTACTGCATAAGTTCATCGAGCAAGACAGATCACGCTCGCTGTTCTGGCAGTCATGGACGTGGAAGGGATTAAGTCAGAAGTGGGGAGCGTGTCCGGCGTGGAACGAGGAGACACTGTCGACGGAGAAACGGACGCCTCACCCACCCCGCCAAGGCAGCGTGAGATAAACCAGTCTCCCGAGAAGAGAAAGGAACCAAGCAGATTATATGCAGACTCACGTCAATCCTCGTCGAGGAAGAAACTTGTGGGTCTGGTGACATCAGGAATAAAGACAACCAGAGAAACGGACGATGAACGCTGCTCGTTATGCCACAGAGATCACCTTCTGGAGATGTGCCGGACATTAAGCAGCATGTCCACGGGAAAGCGAAATTCTCTCGTAATGGAAGATCTTCGCTGTTTGCCTGCCTGGGTCGTATTCACCTGATGACGGCGTGCAGCCAGAAGATGGTATGTGGTGTAGATGGCTGCTCTGGAGTACAGTCGAGGCTTCTGTCCTCTATATTAGGTATGCGTATTGTTGTCGTAAGCAAATAATTACATTTTACTTATCAGTTAAGTATAAAAGAAAGTATTATCAATTATCAGCTTACTAGTCGTTCGGCCGCTTTGTCTGTTCTTTGTTATCTTATGACCTTTACTGTCCAGTGTCAGTACAGGGTCACAGCTCAAGGTTGAAGAAGCCACAAGCCCAGAAAACAGTGAGAGCAAACTTTTTCGGAGTGAGAGTTGTGAACTCTTGGAACAAACCGAGCAATCTGCCAGAGAGTGTTGTGACGGCACTGAGTGTTATGCTGCCAGAATGGGGTCACTAATTCTAAGGGGAAATACTTAACTATAATCTTAATTTCTAAGGGTCGCTGCCACCAGACTCCCTCTGGACAGTATGTAGCTCGTTAGGTAGCGTGCAGAGTGGACTAGGCATTGGGTTAGGTTTTTCATTGACCAGATCGATAAGGGGAAAGAAGGTTGAAACCATAGCATGTCTTAACTAATTTATTCTTTATAAACTATATGGTAATAAAAAAATACAATTGTGCTGGCCTTCCTCAGAAGAACAACGATGAGTTTGGTTACCCTTCTTACAATATCACTCAACACGTCGGACTGCTCCACCTGTATGGAATATAGCACCTTAGGTCATCATACATAGTAACACCATCTCACCTCCCTGTAGCACCAGCTCACCACACCTGTTATACTCCACACCTGCAAGTATGGGACTCCTTGTGATTTCTAGGTACACACATCAGGCACCTCGTCGCACACCGTCCTCGGTGGGTAGAGACGAGGGCTACACCCAGAGACATACCAGTGCTGTTTCTGCGCCTGGCATTATAGGTCGCTCCAAGTGACGACCGCGGAGTTTCTCAAGCATTTCCTTATTTATTCCTACTCATTTGGGGTGGTCTGCTGGGGATCCACAGGTTCACAGTGGGATAGTATAGCTGGTAGTCACCTCACATGGTGGGACGCTCACAGGGAGAATGGCCGATGCCCAGCAAGGTGCTCCGACCGCGTGCGACCTGAGGTGACGGTAGAACGGAGGGTACTGAGAAATATTGCCTGATGGGCGGTTATCACACACCCTAACACATTACTATTTCACTTATACACCAGGCAAAGCTTTAAACTGTAATAACTGCTACATAAGCCTCTTTTTTACAGGGCGGGATGTAGCCCGATAGGACACTGACCTGAGGTGACGGTAGAACGGAGGGTACTGAGGGCAGTGCCCCGCCTCTCTTCATTGTGCAGGCCTACAGTTTCCACTCTTTCATTTTTACTTTTATTTCTTACGGTTCTCACCTGAACACTTTCCGGTATATTGTCACTCATGCCTTATAAACACATATTTTAATCCTAAATTACACACTAAGGCAAGGTTCTGGTTTGCTAGTTCGTGGGTAAATTCATTGGGTTATAATATCAACACGGCACACTCGAGGCGGGTCCCCAGGACGCTCCCTTAAAACAAAAAAGTGTTCATGGCATGGGTATATCCACTTCACTTAAAACTGTAATTAGGGATCCTCCTCTCACACATTGCACTATTTGAACACAGACATAAGATTCTCTGATCACTGTACATGTTGTGGGTATACGTCACGTGAGGATACGAGGTGTATTAAGTTCACACCGATACATACAAGATATTTCCTTTCAAGTATAGTTTCTGGGTCACTTCCAACACCTCACATAGTTCTGACACATTTATCCCTTTTCCAGATCATTGTTCTCATGTATTTTCATATGATATCTGTGGAAGGTATGTTCGCTACACGCTCACAGACGTAAATAGTATGACCTTCAAACCATGATCCACACTTATTCCTACAGTACACTAGTCCAGCTCAACTGGACTTTCCCAATCATCTTATGGATACCCTGAGTTCTCCTTAATGCTATGAATACATACAATTAACATAATATAACCGTACCTGGGTACAATACAACACATGATTCAGTAACATTGAGTAGGTGAGTTACCCTTTATCAATGTTTCCCGTTCTCTGAGAATCTACAAGCGCAGTGGATTTGAATGTTATGTAGCGTAATATGAATTAAGGTTTTTTTTTTAGGAATGACATTGATGTGCGCAGTACAGTGTGACTGTGTAAGCTCTTTCAAGGCCAGAATTGACCAGGTTCGGATGCATTCAGAAGCTAGTACATGACCAGTAATTGCCAACTGTGACCGACCGCCCGAGCAGCTAACTAGCCGATCAGTGGCGAAGAGGATAAAAGTGAAAGTAATAGTTGGAAACCGAAATAACCGAAGGTGATTACTAACCTGATGAGACTAATCATATAAGCACTTAACATTCGTAGCAACAAGGGGCTGGAGACTAAAAAATATTAAATTTGTCATAACTTGAGCTACGACGTTTTTTGTTTTAATCGCCGTAACTCAATACTTAAAATTTGCCCATGCGCACGGCCATATTCAATGAGGTTTGGTCGTACAAAGTGGCCCTCATTTGGACATTTTCAATAACTGACAGTCTCTATTATATCTTGGGGCGAGAACTTTAGTTCATTGTCATCATATGCACCCAGGTCCTTTTCACATTCGGTCTCTGTTATTTTTTTTTCAGCTCGTTGGGACATGTGACACTCATCCTTACTATTGGCATGACCTAGGTGCATCCTCTTACACTTCATGACATCAAATCTTAACAACCATTTCTTTGACCACTCTTGAAGCTGGCCGAGATTTTCCTGTAGTTTTTCACAGTCCGTTTGGTTCTTAATTTCCCTGGATAGCTTGGCACCGTCCGTAAATATTAGTATGCAGACGTGTATTATTTCTGACATACCACTTATGAAAAAAACGACAACTGCACACTGCCTTGTGCCCCGCTAGCGATTCATTAATCTCAGTCTTTCATGGGTATGCTGTCATAATCCTTGGTAAAATCCAGATATTGCTGCCCTGTTAGAGCATTTCAGTCTAAGCATCCAGCACCTTGAGTACCACCCAAGCCTCAGTCACACCTCCCATGTCTAAATCCCACGACCCAAGTTTCAGTCACACTACCCATGGCCTGTGTAAGGGCTGTAACGAGCAGGATGGCTGTCTGCCGCTCGTTTGCGGCTCCACTAGGGGGTAGACGGAGGTGAGAAGGTCGCTGCTGCCTCATCACACACCAAACACTATCCAGCCTGCACCGCAGCTGCACTTCCCTGCTGCTCGATTCCAACTCTGGTTGTGTACGTATCTAAGGTTCCTGGGGCTTGTGGGCTGATTCCCCAGTCCTTCACTATTTGGCTGTCAACTCTGGTCACCTACTCCAGCTATTGCCGCGGCTGCCACTTGATCGCCACTTCCTCCACGCCCTATCCACCGTTTGTGCCCTGGCGTCTCTCCTGTGTGGCAAGACATCGCCCACCAATGCCGGCACCAAGTGAGGAAGCTGCCCTGGGCCTTCCCCCCCGAGTGGTTCACAGCGTTACCAAAACATTCCATCGCGCAGGTTAGAAGAAAGCTTTATTTACAGCCGTAGGAAGCACCTGTAATTTGTTGTATGGATTGTTTTGTTTCAAGTAATTGTTTGACTCCAGTGCTGTTTATTTAATATTTGTGTGAGTGGTGTCAGTTAAATTATTGTGATTATTTTCGTAGTAAAGAGAGAGATCAATCTCTAAAGGTTGTTTGTTACCCTTTGGAAACCCCTGGTTCTTGACTCTCCTTTTTATAAGATCCTGATTAGCGTAAGCGTAATACATCGAAAAGAGTGAGCGAAAACTATAGCCTACTCCACCGGCACAACATTATGTGGTGTGTTCTAGGTTACTGGCATATCAGCGAAATGAAAGTTAGGAGCGAAGAGGGTGGAGTGCATTTCATAGGATTATTCATTAAATTTTACTTTCAAATGCCATTTCCAGAAGACAGTAATTTAGGAGGTCCACAAACTCGTTCTTAAAAAATACAAAAAACAATAATGTACATTCGACATCGTGTGTAAATTTCCGCTTTTCTTAAAATCCACCCCGAAACTAATATTTTGCCAGATTCCCGAGTCTGCTGCCGAGACGGCTTACACCAATCCCGTGGAATCTTTGCACCCTAAGGATTTGTAAGCTAAACCCCAGTTCTCTAGGATCACCCCAACCTGCCAGAACCTGGGAATGACTGGTCTTAATTGTAAGAGAGCTAAATGTACAGTACTAATGTTGACGATAAAAAGGGCCATCACTTACTCTATATGCATTATAGGTCTCTGCGGTTTCCAGAACATTTATGCTGGAAGTGCTGTCACACACAACAGTACAATGTATATCAAAAGAAAATATTTTTTATAAGTTTATTCACTGAAAATACTATAAATAGAAAAAAGTATTGTACATGTGTTGCATTCACAATGATTATATATGCATCCACAATTACTACTGTATAAGTAAAAATGGATACTGTATGTTAATTTACAAAAGTGCCAAAATTATAAAATAACTTCTGGAGGAGACAGTAAAATTATAATTAAAAATGTCCAAAAATCAGAGTGCAAAGAAATACTGCTAAAAAATAAAACAGTTTTGTTGTAGGAGAACAATTGGTAAAAAGAATCACAACTGGTGTTCAGTATCCTGCCATATTTGTCTTTACCCCCCCAAAAGACAAAAGAATAACTATTCAGTTGAAAGGACACTATCAGCAACAATGACTTTAGAATACTGATATTTTTTTAGAAAACTGATAAATTGATATAAAACACAATGAACATGTAATTATTCCTCTCCGAAAATTCTGCACAGTACATCAAGAGGACAGACAGTAGGAGTAAAAGGCATTTATTTTCTTAATTAGATGAAACCAATCTTACAATATACCTGCTGCTGATAAGTTTCTTAGTGATAAACAATCTTAATAAAGAGGGACAAGCCTAAATTCAACTTCTTTTGTATTACTGGAATATTCAAACTAGAGTTATTCCAAATAAATGAAGAAAACTAGAAACATTAGTGTGCTTCAGGGTGAGAGAACAGCTTTAACAAATACGAACTAATTTTCCTACAGTATAGTACTTGGGATGTTTGTCAAACACTATTGTTACTCAACATGTTCAAGAAAATTTGGAGTCGATTTGCCCAGGAAAACACACACAACGTCCTACTGTAACCTAGAATGAACATTTCATCAGAACTATAAAGTACGTAGCAGCAAGACAGTGACCATCGTACTGCAGGTGACGACAACCTTAATGCTGCAGGAGGCTGTGTACTGTACTCACACCTATCTGTTTACATCTGTACTTACACTTATATGTAATACTATTTACATTATGAGCTTAAAAATAGTGACAAAGGTTAATGGCATTAAAGTTCAGTATATAAAATCAGAATTACTGTTACCTACTGCCAATACAGAAGACAGAATGGTAATCATACTAAAAATTATCTCAAAAGGTTCTTGGCTCCTAAATCAGTTGCATAATTAACTAATGACTGATTTTAACAAAATACATAAATTCATACTAAAATACTGAATAACTGAAGTGACTCCGTCATGTGACAGACATTTGGTGTGAACAGAAACATTACCCAGGGGTAAAAGTGATGGGTCACCAGACACCATGGTGCAGTGACCTACTTGTCCAACTCCGTCAACAAGAGGAATAAGTGCTACCAAAATCAGAGTACAGTAACTTCAAATAATAAAAACTATATATATATTCTAAGATTGAAGAATTATTGCTTAAATAAATACAAAGCAAAATCTTAATCTTAGTGAGGAAAACAAAGAAATGCTAGATTTAACATGATGCAAAAGTCAATTTTGGCTCCCAATAATGTGATATAATCCCCAGAAACCCTGACGTTGATGTGGACGTCCTCCCTGACAGCCTTGACCCACCACAAACAATCATTGTATAGTTCCAGAAAAATCAAACAACCTAAATGTATTAATTTGGTAAACATCGAAAGACTTGTATTAAAATGTACTTCAGGTTTATTGATTTATCTTTCATTTAATAAGCTTTTAAGTCCGAGATAATAAATCAACATTGTCATGACATAGTAAACACAATCTTAACCTAACAATATTACACAAACGTTTTCTTTACTGTCAAATAGTTATTGCCATACTACATTTATTGTTATTGATTACGGTTATTATTATGAAATTATTAATAGTATTATGAACACTTGTAACAGCCTAACACGATTAAAAAAAAAAAAAAAAAAATTAGAAATATTATAAAATACTGATGTGATTTACATTTTGGGGAGCAGAAAACTTTCTATTACAAATACTATATACAAAACGAGGTATTACTTGTATCACTAATACCTAATATACCATTATTCTGGTAATTTGAGCATTTGTTTACAAGATGTTGCACAAGTGTGGCACCCAGGTAGCCACTCCATACTCTACATTGGTTACATTAATCATATTCCTGCCTAAGTTATTAGCAACTAATTTTCCTAATGCTTGTTTACATAATGTAACCTTGACATATAATGGACAGATCACTCTTCCAAATATAAATGGTATTTTCCTTGAAAAGGTTTATTTAGGAAGACAAGCATTAGGTACAAAATGTTCAGTTGCTAAGGAGGACCCACTAGCAAGCAAAATGCCCAGTTAGTTGGGGCGCAAAGGCGAGGCCTCCCTCAGTGCCTCGGTCAGAGCTCACGAGGTAGATGCTTATGTCAGTGTGGTGTCTGAGCGAGCTACCGCTTGGATGACGTCACCTCGGCCACAACTCCATTCCTAGGATTCTGGTGTGACTACTTCATTCATTAGGCCAAGCCTCTAGGAATGTTCCCAAAGTACAGGAAGGGATGCAATTCATCCATCGAGTCTGATATGGGACCATCCCTAGGCTAATGTACACCTTTATCTCATCACTTTGGCCAGTCTTTAAAACAAATACCTAGGGAACAGATGTGACTATATCATCCACTGGCCAGACCTCTGGAAATGTCCTAGATAACTGACTAACTGGTTGTGGCTTACATTTAATCATCTATGAAACATCACCATCTACTTCTTCTGCTGCAGCCAAAATTGGGGAAAGTGAAAGAAGTTTTGAGGCACCACTGAAGAAGAGAGAATAGCAACTGATGGCAGAATCTGAGGACAAGACGCACCAGACCCCATACATCATTGCTAGTTGTACAAGGCGATGGAGTACATGCATCCAGTGCATAAATCTCCTGGCTTGTGGCACGTCTTTTAGGTCTTCCTTCATGATGTACTGCTTGCAGCCTTTCTGATATGTCTCGATATAATCATCCCAGTCCAGGTCTTCCACATCAAAATGATAGACTTCCTTGTCAGTAGGAGAGAGGGTGTTCCACAGGCACTTTGTCTGTGTGTTGTGGAAGATCCAATCTCGCAGCATGAAGTACTCCAGGGCACTGATGGCCTTCACCATCTTGTTGCACAGTTTCACGGCGCTGAAATATCAAATTTAAATAAGATTTTACTACACAAACATAAACCCATTTAAGGGCTCCTGACTTTCCTGAATTAATATACAATAGGTGTTGAGCGAGATATTTCTGGAAGACCTACACAAATACATCTCGTCTAAAAATATTGATGGAAACAATTCACTTGACTCTAATGAACTTCTATGACGACTACAAAACATTCTAGTGTATGTAAAAGTTTTTCTCTGAACTTCTGTTACATTTCACACCTAAGTTAGGAATACATGAATGAAGAGAATAATTTGATGGTTTTGACATCTTCGCAACAAAACAAAATCGTAAACTTACAAGGGCTTTTTACCAAGGATCCTCATTATCGTGTCAGCAATGTGTGCCGGGATGATGTTAACGAGGTACACGTGGATCTGATGCATGATCTTGGTAGTCTTGGCTGACCCATCAGGGTACCACAGTGGTGAGTTGAAGGGGTAAGAGCGCACCGACTTCTGCAGGTGGACAGCCAATGCATCGCTGGTCAGTGGCTTCTGTGATCCCGTTGAGCAACAGAAGATGGGCACCGAATTTGGCCTGACAACAAATCATTAGTTTAGTTAAGGCATGTCATAATGAAGAGTTTTATCTATGTTCAAATTAGGTTGTTATGGTACAGCTTCAAGTAATTATTAGAGCGACTACATCAATTAAGCACTATTATTTCATTCTTCTATCCTTATTACGAAGTGCAAATCAAGTTGGATATGAACGTGATAAATAGACAACTGTGTAAACCAATTTTGCAAATACTGTAATTTTATCGTATTTTATAAAATTTCATCACTTCTTTCATTTTTGTTTAATTATTTTTCTTCAACAATTCCTTTTAAGATTCCTGCACATTCTTTTCAACACAATGTCCACCTGCACTATTTTTTTTTTAAACATCAACTGATTATTTAAACTTCAGAATAAGTACCCAGAATATTTCACCCAATTATAAACGATCCTAATGTTAACATAACCCCCTCCCCCCAGACAGTGTGAGGGTGTTTAATCATCAGGTGAAATAATCTAGGGGAAGGGGGAAGCTAATCTTCAGGTGATCATACTTCTCAAACAAAACATCAAAAACTGACTTGTATTTCCCAGCAGCTCTGTTCCAGGCAGAGACGATCATCAGGTTAACCGGCATATCAACAGGGATGAAGTCCAGTGTTATTCCAGGTTTGATGTAGAGAGAGCGTAGGACTCCCTTACCCATGCCTACAAGTAACCCGGTAAACGCGAAGAGGTTATCCACCCACCCTGGCACGGGCTCACGCCATGATCCACACACTGTACAATACACATCAAGTTAGTTAAACACACATAAGGTAAACACAACATTACAAACATTATAACTTGTGGTATTATAAAGCACAGGTAATTGTTATTAAAACTTATAAAAATCAGAAATAATAGGAATGACAGTGTTTATGATGGAAATACCAGGAATGACAGTGTATAGGATATAAAGTCTTCAAAACTCGTGAAGATTAAGAGTATGAGGTACGTAATAGGCTATTGCGTACTGCCACTAAACATTCAAAAGAACCTGGCAGTCAAACATTTAGAAGATATATTTTCATGAATAGTAACGTGTATAATGTGTACATGCTATATTATCCTTTAACTTCTAGTAAGTCTTTTCTTTTGTTTTTCCTCTTCAAATTTATTTCTGAACTACACATGGCCACGAACTTACCAATGGAGGGCCTGATGATAGATATGGGTAGTCTTCCGCCATCATTGACCAGGAGGTGTTCGGCTAAAGCTTTGGTGTAGGTGTAGGTGTTGGGACGTGGGGCAACTAAATGGGGGGTCAGGGCTTCTAAGAGCTTATCGTCGAGCCACTCTGTCAGCTGTATCAGACGGCCGGGGTCCATGGGTGCTGGGTAGAGCTCCTCGTATACCTCGGGCAAATGACAGTTGCTGTATGCCGTCGAGACGTGAACCAGTGACTAAAAAAGAAGGAATAATTAATGAACACTTCACCAGACACAGAAAATGGGATCAAGTTAAGTAAACATCAGTGACTAAAGAAAGCGTGACAGTTTACATGCACCAGTAAGATCAACGTTAATGAATGCGGGATAAAGCGAACTTGAACAAGAAACAAAGCCGTAGGGTATGATTATATTACAGCCAGACATTTCTTTACTTTTACTTTTTTACCTTTATCTTCGCCACTGATCGGCTCGTTAGCCGCTTGGGCGATCGGTCACGTCTCTGTCACGCACTGTTGGCAAATACTGGGCATGCACCGGCTCCTGAATGTACCTGAACCTGCTCCAGTGTTGGTCAAGTCTTGTCTTGAAAGAGCTCACACTCGGTGCCGTCACAACACACTCTGGTAGATTGTTCCAAGAGTTTACAACCTTCACTCCTAAAAAGTTTGCCCTCACAGTTTTCTGGACTTGTGGCTTCTTCAATCTTGAGCTGTGACCCCTTGTGGGGCGAGCGTCCGCCAGCTCCAAGTAAGCACACTCGACCGAGTAGTGCCCTCTGAGATGCTTATACACCTCAACTACGTCCCCCCTTGCCCGTCTGTAATATAAGCTAGGCAAGTTCAGGCGCTCCAATCTCTCAGGGTAGCTGAGGTGCCGAAGTGCAGGCACCAGTCTGGTGGCCCTCCTTTGAACATTTTCAACCAACTGACATTCCCTAGCATATCTCGGGGACCAGACGGGGTGACAGTACTCCAGATGAGGAAGCACTTCACTCTTGAAGATCATTACGAGGGACGGACCGTCTAGACATCTGAACGACCTTCTTATAAGACTCAATAATTTATTTACCTGGTTTACCTTCTTTTTGCAATGGCCAGAGAACTTCAGCTCATTGTCAACATACACACCTAGGTCCTTTTCACATTCAGTCTCAACTAGTGCAGTTTCTTCATCCCGTTGGGACATATGAGACGCCTCCTTACCGTTGGTACGCCCCAGGTGCATCCTCTTACACTTCGTGACATCGAATCTCAGCAGCCAATCCTTCAACCATTCCTGGAGCCCACAGAGGTCCTTCTGCAGCTCTTCACAGCCCGCTTGGTTCTTAATTTCCCGAAATAACTTAGCGTCATCGGCAAACATTTGTTTGGAGGAGTGTACAACGTCAGGCATGTCATTTATGAAACAAACAAACAACAGCGGACCCAATACACTGCCCTGTGGTACCCCACTTGTGACAGGTACGGATGACGATTTCGTGCCATTAATCACCACACGCTGCTTGCGGTCATGTAGAAAGTCTTCTTTCCATGTTAGGACATTTCCCCGAATTCCGCACCCTTCCAATTTGATTTTCAGCCTTTCATGGGGGGCACACTGTCGAAAGCCTTGGCAAAATCTAGGTAAATATTGTCGATATTACCACCTCGTTCCAGAATATGGGTCCAAATATCCAATACCTTGAGCTATTGTGTTAAGCAGGAGCGCCCCGGCATAAAACCGTGTTGGCAACCCTTTACAAGATTGTTTCGTATTAGATGTTCCATTGCGGCATCTCTGATAATACTCTCGACGCATTAATACCACTACTACCTCGCTAGAGTCAATGAGCTAAACATCAATAATAAAAATATAAAGAATATTCTTATAGAACAGTAGTAAAGTTGATTTTGTTGACCGTACCTCCAAATTCCTCATCTTGTGTGCGAGGCTGACCACACGCTTGGTGCCCAGCATGTTCATGTTCACTGCTACACGCATCGGTTCCTGTAACACAATTTTGAAACATATTAGATATTATGAGCAATAATCTTTCAATAGGTCAACAAAGAACTGATATAAGAGATGTAGCTTTAGTTACCCTCTCAAAAAAAAAATTAACAATAAAGAAAAAATGGAACAGCCCTTTCCTCACTCACTGGGACACTCGATAGCATGGCCAGACTAACATAAAAACGCAAAATGCTTTAGGAGCCTGTCTTAGCAATGCTGATAAACAATAACGTGATTTAAACCATCTCTTGATATTACTGTGCAATTATAATCAGTGAGATGAATCCTCTTACACTAATTAATTGAGAACGACATTTTTGTAGTGTAACAGTGATAATGACATTTTAAGGTAATTCACGAAGACCATCTTTCGAAGCCAAGGTACATTAACTATTTGAAAATGACATTCTCGGATAATTAATTAAAAATGACATCTCTCAAGAGTAATTTAATAAGAATAACAATTATCTCATGAGCAACTACATAAACATTTCACCAGAGAGCAAACAAGTCCAGCAACTCACAGTAAAGTTGATGGTGGCGGCAGCGTGGAAAACAATGTGGACCTCGTTGGCTAGGCGGGCTTCATCCTCATCACTCAAGCCCAGACCCTCCATGGTGATGTCTCCCTTCACAGCAAACACCTTCTGGATCACCTCAGGCTGTGACTCCTTGATCTTGTCGAACAACTGCAACGATCACAATCCAAAGTGTTAAGACATCACTAATAGTATAACCAATGATACATAAATATATTGAATATTTGTTTATATAGGATGACGTGTTTCCTGCACTTGCCACTATCCTTCACGTTATTTGCCGGGATTTTCCTCTGAATTGTGGGTATAATTAGAAACAAAGCAACAAGGAAAAGTATCTCTCTAATACACTGATGAACAAGCATACTGTACAACCTGTATATATTAATTTACCTTGATATATTAACATGAACAAATCCTAAAAAAATGTTCACCATCAACTGGGTAATATGAACACTTAACTTACAAAGGACAAACAATAAATAAGAGAAGCAAAAACAAACCATAAAGCAAAGAGAAAATATATACAGTATTTAGAAAGATGAAATATAGACATTAACATATCTACAGTACATTAATAGCTTTTATTCTTTGACAGGAATATTTATATATGTAATTACAATACAAAGACAATTTACAGGTGTTTGGTATATAATGTGAGCCTATCTACACACCTGCTGAAACCTGTCAAGACACACACACACACCTGTTGAAACCTGTCAACAATCACACACCTGCAATCATTTATGAAACACCTGTCAATTAACACACCTGTTTCTCACGCTTCTGCTACTAGAAAACAAAACACCACGATACCTTAAATGAAAACAAACCACCATCACTACTACCACCATTACTACTACTACTATTTTTTTTAAACGTGGCCTCCAGCCTCCCCCAATAGCCACACCCTCGCCGCCATTTTATTACCTTAATATTAAATACCCTAATACATAAGTAGCTATCCTAGCTGTGTTGAATTAGTTGAGCCGCAGATCTATGCGACATTCAGTGACTGTAGCCTCATAGTCAATATCTGCAGCTGTTGTCGGGTTTGGGGTTGAAGCTCTCGTTCCCCTGAGGCAGAGCAAAGCCGACCGAAGGAGAGAGAGGGACAGTCGACATCTCATCCAGGCTGTAACATAACTTCTGGGCTGCTGCTTCTGTTCGGAGATAACCTCCGCGAGTCTGGCGTAGAAACATCTTGCACTTGGTCCCATCCCACCAGAGGTTGTGAACACTAGGAGTGAAGCTGCCTTGATCAACGTTCTGAATTCTCTCCCCGTATGCCCCTATCTTGTCGTTCTCGTCCCTTCTGTGTGCAGCATCGAGAGCTAAGTTATGGTGACATGCGGCCATGGGATCAAAAATCCTGATGTCGAAGAAGGCTTGCTGTCCCCGTGTCCAGAATCCTCGAGCACTGACGTCAACACGGGCTTCATTGGATGTGTTTGAAGTTCTGTGTTGAAAGATCTCACCGTCCAATGGAAGGAGGGTCGGTTCTACCATGACATCACGGCAGATTTCCTTCAACATATTTGCCGAGATCCCTTACTTCGTCATGCCTCGTGCATATGAAGCCCCCTTTCTTGCACACCATGGCGTGATCGACGTCATAGGAAGAGCCACACACGCATTGGGAGGGCAAACCTTCTACTGGCCTACCGTACCTTAGAGCATTGGCATCTGTAAATTCTTGTTTATTGAGACAAACCATTTGCCCTTATCGATAATGGTAGTTAACCAGTTCGAGGCGCCCACCTCCTGTGCTATAGCTACTTTTTTTTTCACATTCTCTGGTACTTGCAGCAACGGTTGCTGCAACTTATCACTTTAGCCGTGCTGTCGATCTGTCGTAATGGACCTTCGAATCTTGTTTACTTCACTGGTATCCACCTCCCCTGTAGCGTTCTGAGCTATTATGTAGTCCGTGAGGGCTGCCGTGAGCTTAACTGAGTTTTGATGTTCGGTGGCAGCAATCTCCTCTGGATTGGTCAGTCCCATTCTTCCCAGTCTCGGTGGTAGGGCAAGGAGTGATCTTTCTGCCGGGGTTAAGTGAGGGTGTTTCACTAATTTGGGAATGAAATTGACGCTGATAGCTTCTTCCAGAGGGTGGAGGAGGGGTCCGATATCAGGGATAGTGCGCATCAGGTAGTTCCAGCGATGCTTGACTCCATGGGTGAATGCCGCAAAAGCCGCATGTGGCTCTGTGTTAGCAATCTCAGACACAGCCTGGATTTCCCTAACCCACTCATTCACCTTTCCCGTTACGTACTCGGTCTTGAAGTCCGTCGTGCCAATTACGCCTAGGTGTCTTTGGCCATCCTTTGTTATTTTGACCTCATTTCCACCGAACACCTCCATTGCCCGTTCATAATGTTCTGGCTTCACAATGAGGAATGACTTGCTGGCGTTTGGGTGGAATCCTATTTGTGGGCCTCATGATGTTACCAGGTCCCACCACGTTTTTGATGTCCGCCAATTTTCCTGCTCCTGTGAGGTCATCAGCGTACGCCACTTGCTCGACCTCAGTTGGTTCAAATTTTATCGTGTGTTGGAGCACGGATAGGCCTATTGCATACATTGCCATTGCAACAGGGTCCCCCTGCGTTGTTCCCCTGACTGTATGATGGTATCCCCTCTTAGAGCCTTGTTGTTTACTATATAGAGGTCTCATAGATTCCTATAGGAGTTTTCAACATACATTGCAAAGCTTGGACACTTGATCTTGATGATGTGCAGTGCGGCCCTGCGGTTAAGTATGTTGAATGCGTTTGAAGCGTCCAGCAGAACGGCCTCACAATCGCGCTGCTCAAATATCGTTCTCATGGCGTGAATGGCAGCTTCCCCTCCAGCTTGTTGGCCAGCACAAACTTGCAGGTTCACTGCTGCTGCCCTAACATCATCATTTACCACCTCCATTATGCATTTTCCGATGATCCGCCTCAGCACTTCCCCCACTCCTATTGGCCTACACTACCATCACCACTCCTACTACTATTACTACTACTATCACCATCACATAGTTGTTCATGGTAAATTTCACCACAACCCCCCTCCTTCCTCCACCACAACCCTCTCCCTTCCTCTACCCTCTCCTTCTACCACGACCTCTCCTTCCACCACGACCTCTCATTCTTCTACTACGACCTCTCCTTCCACCACGACTCTCTCCACCACGACCTCTCCTTCCACCACCACGACCTCCTTCCACCACCACGACTCTACCACGACCCTTCCACCACCACCTCTCCTTCCACCACCACCACCCTCTCTTCCTCTACCACGACCTCTCCTTCCACCACCACGACCTCTCCTTCCACCACACCACCCTCCTTTCTTCCACCACCACCACCCCTCTCCCCACCACGACCTCTCCTTCCACCACCACGACCTCTCCTTCCACCACCACGACCCTCCTTCACGACCTTCCACCACCACCAACCTCTCCTTCCACCACCACGACCTCTCCTTCCACCACCACCACCTCTCCCTTCCTCTAACCACGACCTCTCCTTCCACCACCACGCCCTCTCCTTCCACCACCCACCACCACCACCACCACGACCTCTCCTTCCACCACCCCTTTCTCCTTCCACCACACGACCTTCTCCTTCCTCACCACGACCTCCTTCCACCACCACGCCCTCTCCCACCACCGACCCACCGGACCACGACCTCTCCTTTCCACCACGACCTCTTCTTCCACCACCACCACCCATTCACCACGACCTCTCCTTCCACCACCACGCTCCACCACCACCACCGACCTCTCCACCACCACGACCTCTCCTTCCACCACCACGACCTCTCCTTCCACCACCACGACCTCTCCTTCCACCACCACGACCTCTCCCACCACCACGACCTCTCCTTCCACCACAAACAACCCCGTCCTACACCACCACCACCACTATGACAAGCACCACCACCACTACCACCACCAGGACAAGCACCACCACCACTACCAGGACAAGCACCACCACTAAGGACAAGCACCACTACTAAGGACAAGCACCACCACCACTACCACCACCAAGGACAAGCACCACCACCACTACCAAGGACAAGCACCACCACTAAGGACAAGCACCACTACTAAGGACAAGCACCACCACCACTACCACCACCTAGTACGGAGAACAGGCGAGGTTGTTTGACCCTTGAAAACCAAGCTAAGAAAAAAAAAGCTTATTTTAAGTGTTTATCTTAAGGTAGATATCAAAGCTTATTTAAGATTGTGTCAAGTATGAGAGGATAAAAAAGCTGACTTAAGGCTGTGTTTAGTATGTGGGGGATATAAAAGCTTATTTAAGGCTGTGTTTAATAAATGGGGGTAATAAAAGCTTATTTAAGGCTGTGTTTGGTATGTGGGGGACATAAAAGCTCAAGGCTGTGTTTAGTATGAGAGGATATAAAAGCTTAAAACAGTTTTTAATATGTGGGGATAAAAAGCTTAAGACTTAATTTAGTGTGGGAGATGAAAAAAAAGCTTATTTTAGCACCGTTTAGTAGAAGGTAGATATAACCGCTTATTTCAATCCACATTGTTAACTGTCTTGTACCTGGTGGAAAATAAACATTGTTTAATTGAAATTTTATAACAGGTTGAGAAAATACTTAAATTTCATCTATTTTGTACCAGAATGAAAAACAAGCTTATATAACCCCGTATTTTGTGTCAGATGGAACAAAAGCTCATTTTAAGTATTCTGTAGCAATGAAAAAAAAGCTTATACGAACAATGTTTTTTGTTCCAAGTGAAAAAAGCTTAAATGTAACTCAAAAGCGGGAAAAAAGCTTAGTTTACCTATTTTGTTAAGAAAAAAAAGACTATTTAACACCATTTTCTACTGTCTTTTATACAGGTAAATATAAGCAAATAAAACTCTTTTATTTCAACGGTGTCCCTGAAAATAAAAAATAAAAAAAACATCCCATTGTGTTTTGTACAAGTGAAAACATACACAATGCCTACATAAACAACACACACAGACACACACTATCTACATAAACACACATACATACAATATCTACATAAACATTACCATCTACAAATCATAGTACTGTACTTAACAAAAACAACAAAACCACTGAGTAAATTATTAACAATATGTATAATGTCTAAAACACAAATTAGAGAAAAACAAAAAACAATTCTTACAGCACAGGTGAAAAAACACACACACAACTTTAATTACAAAAAAAAACACGACAGGAAATGGAGAAAGAACGTTTACACTACAAACACGCACCAAGGAACGAGTCTACCACAGAATGTAAAAACAACAAGAAATGGTATACTTTTAAGATTTAAGGAGCTCTAGTTTATATCATCTCAAGATTAACCCCCCCCCCTCTAATGTTACGTGGTAAGGGTAGGGTAGGTTAGTTGGTAGGGTTAGTTTAGGGTAGGGTTAGTTTAGGGTAGGGTTAGGGGTAGGGTAGGGTTAGTTTAGGTAGGGTAAGGTTAGGGTAGGGTAGGGTTGGGGTAGGGTAGGGGTTAGGTTAGGGTAGGGTTAGGTTGGTAGGTTAGGTTAGGGGGTTAGGGTAGGGTTAGTTAGGGTGGGTTAGGGTGGGGTTAGGTAGGGGTAGGGGTTAGGTAGGGTTAGGTAGGGTAGGGTATAGGGAGGATAGGGTTAGGTTGAGAGTAGGTGGGGTGGGGTGGGGTGGGGTAGGGTAGGGTTAGGTTTGAATAAAGTTAGATTAAGTTAAGGCTAAGTAAGAATAATATACGTTAGGACAAGTTAAGGGTGGTTAATCCAGGTGTGTCTAATCTTCAGGTGACCCAAGAAAATAATAACCATTTCTTTTTCTTACATAAACAGAAAGAGGAGATCAGACATTGAGTGACGGGAAAAACATGAAGAAAATATAGAGCTAGTAACAGAGATAACACGAGAACCACACGTCACAAGAAAATGAGTTACAGGGAAAAAAAAGTGAATCAAGAGACACAGACATGATAGATATAGGTTTACTTCCGCATTTGTTTTTAGCCAGACACATATCGAGACTAGTCAGGTATCTACAAGACCTCTTAAGTGCTGTACACCCAGACCAGTAGCGAAGCATTGATCTAGACGAACTACAATTAGGCACTGAACTAGAAAAAAGCCAGGCATTGATTCTAAAGAAGCTTCGGCATATAGCGTATAGAGGGCGAATAATAAAAAAAAGATAAAGGAGACGCAGAAGAAGTAGGGAGACGGAAGGAGGAGGAGCACAGAAGGAGGAAGGGACGAGGAGGGAAGAACATCAAGCGCCCTTCCCCTCCTCCTCCCCTACCCCGCCCACACCTTCCCCCTCCCTTCTGCTGCCGCGATATACTCACCATGGTCTCATTGGTACGGCCCCCGGACAGCGAGGCGATGGAAGCCTTTAGCGGCCCCTACAACGACGACAACAACAACATGGTTAGCTCTGCATGCATCACGAACTACTCATGGGGAAAGGTAGAAGGGAGGGGTAGACAATTATGGGGCGGGAAGGGTGGAGGCAGGCTATTATGAGGGTGGGAAGGCTGGAGGCAGGCAATTATTAGAGCAGGAAGGCTGGAGGCAGGCTATTGTGATGTGGGAAGGCTGGAAGCAGGCAATTACTGGAGCAGGTGATCATGGGGATAGGTTAAGAAAGGATTAGGAAGGTTACTGTAGACATACATGGGGGAAGGGGGGGGAGGGTAGGAAACGGTGATAAGCAGTCATGGGTGGTAATCACGATGGAGGAGGAGGTTAACCAATCATGAGGGTTGGTGGTAAAATGTTAACCAATCATGAGGGTTGGTGGTAACAGGTTAACCAATCATGAGGATAGGTATTCATGAAGTAATGAGTGAGGGCAGGTAACCAGAGGGAGGGAGGGAGGGAGGGGGGGAAGGAGAGGGTAGGTGTTATGGGCAATAGGTGTAGGAGGTTTGGGCAAGAATTATAGGATAAGTGGTTTGGGCAAGAGGAAAAACAAACACGGGGTATATGTAGGGGCAACAAATTGGGGGAAGGGGGGCAAATTAGAAGCCATAGGGGCAATAGGCACACAAGCGGTTGCAGGACGTATACAAGGAAGGAAGGAAAGAAAAGCAATTATAGGGATGAAAGTGGGGAAGAGGGTGAATGAAATATGGATAAACATGCTGGATTATACGCCACATTAAATCTCAATTATCATAACATATAATTATCTGGGGAGTCATTATACTACAAAATATAATGAAGCAAAATGAAATACTGAATAATATCAAGATTTAAGGGGGAAACTTTAGGAAAAACAAAAATAATTTCATAAAAGGATTACGAGAATAAAATAGTTTTTAGGCCGTAAGATAAATTTACACAGAAAACGGTTATGAGTAAGGTTTAAGGAATAGCCGAATAAAAACAAATTAATCATCTTCAAGAGGAAGTTGTTGAAAAAACGGATGGAAGTTTAAGGGGGAACTGAGAAAGAAAATGAGAATTAATAAGACTTTGAGGAAACTGAAGGAAAAAACGAATAATAATGATAATCTTATGGTACTTACATTATCATGCATTTAATACCACAATCTGAATACACCAGGTTGTATAATTTTCAATTTACCAGTGGAAAATATACCAGAGTATCGATATACCAGGTGAGATATACTGTTATGGACTGTACTATATACCTCGCTGCTGCACGACTTGGCATTATTATAACCACTCACATTAACTCACAAATAAAAGTTCTCAGTTCTTCATAAATTAAAACAAAAAAGTTCCCAAAGAAATTCATAATAACACGTCAAAAATCTTAAAACTTCCTTCGTAAAAAAAAAGACGTTCTCATCGGTTCTCGTATGCAGGAAAATTTCACTTTTATCTAAATATAACCAGAGCATTAGGAGGGAGAGGCGTCAAGGGGGGACTTGGTGGGGACTGTAGGGATTTGGGAGGGGGGAAGTGGAGGGGAGGTGGGGGGATGGGAGGGAGGTGGGTGGACTGGGGAGGGTGGGGATTGGGGGAGGTGGAGGCGGGGAGGTGGGGGAGACGAGAGGCGGGGGAGAGGAGGTGAGGAGAGAAGTGGGGAATATCCAACATTAAACGAGAGAGAGAGAGAGAGAGAGAGGGAGAAACTCTTGTCTTGACATAAGCAGTTGTCGGGGCCATACCATGGGCAGCCCAGCGGTCACTCCAACCACACCTTCCACCCCCCCACCATCTACAGCCACACCTTACCTCCCCACATCGCTACAGCCACACCTGTTCCCTCCACCACCACCACACCCCACTCTCCACCACCACCACACCTACTCCTTCACCACCACCACACCCACACCTCCACCACCACCACACCTGACCTCCTCCAATTGCTCACCACACCTACCCCTCCACCACCACCTCACACCTACCCTCCACCACCACCACACTCCACCTCCACCACCACCACACCTTACCCCTCCACCACCACGTACAGCCACACCCTACCCCATCCTCCACCACCACCCATAGCCACACCACACCCCCACCCCTCCACCACACCTTACAATACTGGATAATTACAGACAACAACGCAAAAGAAGAAGTTGGTTTAAATCAAGTAAAAAAAAAAGTAAATATCAAGAGGACCCCCCTCCCCCACCACCCCCTCAGCAGTTAATACCTAGACAACTTTTTTTCCCAAAGGACTAGAATGATCTGGCAGCTTCACTATAACCTACCCATATGTATGCATGTGCGTGTGTGTGTGTGTGTGTGTGTGTGTGTGTGGGGATGTATGTATAAATAAGACTTACACTTCCAGAACTTCCAAGTGAGATAAAAATGCCTCCCCCCCAAAAAAAGTTACATTCAAAAGTTAACGAGCAGAAAAGTTAAATAACAAAAAAAAAATTAAACAAAGGACTGACGACTTATTAAATAATTAAGAAATAAACAAAAACTAAACAAAATGACGCGACGATCTGGTTGACCTGAGACTCATTTACACTCTACCATCACCACCAAGTCTTCACCACCACCACCAAGTCTTCACCACCACCACTAAGTCTTCACCACCACCACCAAGTCTTCACCACCACCACTAAGTCTTCACCACCACCACCACTAAGTCTTCACCACCACCACCACTAAGTCTTCACCACCACCACCACTAAGTCTTCACCACCACCACCTAATTCTTCACCACCACCACTAAGTCTTCACCACCACCACTAAGTCTTCACCACCATCACCACTAAGTCTTCACCACCATCACCACTAAGTCTTCACCACCATCACCACTAAGTCTCACCACCACTCACCACTAAGTCTTCACCACCACCACCACTAAGTCTCACCACCACCACTAAGTCTTCACCACCACCACTAACCCACCACCACCACTAAGTCTTCACCACCACCACTAAGTCTTCACACCACCACCACTAAGTCTTCACCACCACCACTAAGTCTTCACCACCACCACTAAGTCTTCACCACCACCACTAAGTCTCTACCACCACCACCACTAAGTCTCACCACCACCACCACTAAGTCTTCACCACCACCACCACTAAGTCTTCACCATCACCACTAAGTCTTCACCACCACCACTAAGCTCTTCACCACCACCACTAAGTCTTCACCATCACCACTAAGTCTTCCACCATCACCACTAAGTCTCACCACCACCCACCACTAAGTCTTCACCACCACCACCACTAAGCTCCACCACCACCACCACTAAGTCTTCACCATCACCACTAAGTCTTCACCCACCACCACTCAAGTCTTCACCCACCACCACTAAGTCTTCACCACCACCACTAAGTCTTCACCACCACCACCACTAAGTCTTCACCACCACCACTAAGTCTTCACACCCACCACCACTAAGTCTTCACCACCACACCACTAAGTCTTCACCACCACCACTAAGTCTTCACCACCACCACTAAGTCTTCACCCACCACCACTACCATCACCACACCCCACCACCACTAAGTCTTCACCACCACCACTAAGTCTCACCACCACCACCAATCTCACCACCACCACAGCTCACCACACCACAGCCTCACCATCACCACCAAGTCTCACCACCACCACCAAGTCCTCACCACCACCACTGCTCACCACCACCACCAAGTCTTCACCACCACCACTAAGTCTTCACCACCACCACCAAGTCTTCACCACCACCACCACTAAGTCTTCACCACACCACCACTAAGTCTTCACCATCCACCACTAAGTCTTCACCATCACCACCACGTCTTCACCACCACCACCACTAAGTCTTCACCACCACCACCACTCAAGCTCACCACACACCACTAAGTCTCACCACCACCACCCTCAAGTCACCACCACCACCACCAAGTCTCACCACCACCACCTCAAGTCTTCACCACCACCACTAAGTCTCACCACCACCACTAAGTCTTCACCACCACCACTAAGTCTTCACCACCACCACTAAGCTTCACCACCACCACCAAGTCTTCACCACACCACTGTTCACCCACCACCACTAGTCTTCACCACCACTAAGTCTTCACCACCCCACTAAGTCTTCACCACCACCACTAAGTCTCACCACCACCACTAAGTCTTCACCACCACCACTAAGCCTCACCACCACCACTAAGTCTTCACCACCACCACTAAGTCTTCACCACCACAAGTCTTCACCACCACCACCACTAAGTCTTCACCACCACCACCACTAAGTCTTCACCACCACCACCAAGTCTTCACCACCACTAAGTCTCACCACCACCACTAAGCCTCACCACCACATTTCACCACCACACCACTAAGTCTCACCACCATCACCACCAAGTCTCACCACCATCACCACTAAGTCTTCACCACCCACCACTAAGCCTCACCACCACCACTAAGCCTCACCACCACCACCAGTCTCTCACCATCACCACCAAGTCTTCACCATCACCACTAAGTCTCACCATCACCACTAAGTCTTCACCACCACCACTAAGTCTTCACCACCACCACTAAGTCTTCACCACCACCACTAAGCCTCACCACCACCACTAAGTCTCACCACCACCACTAAGTCTTCACCACCACCACTAAGTCTTCACCACCACCACTAAGTCTTCACCACCACCACTAAGTCTTCACCACCACCACTGAGTCTTCACCACCACCACTGAGTCTCACCACCACCACTAAGTCTCACCACCACCACTAAGTTCACCACCACCACTGAGTCTTCACCACCACCACTGAGTCTCACCACCACCACTGAGTCTCACACCACCACTGAGTCTCACCACCACCACTAAGCTTCACCACCACCACTAAGTTCACCACCACCACTAAGTCTTCACCACCACACCACCACTAAGTCTTCACTCACCACCACCACTAAGTCTTCACCACCACCACTGAGTCTTCACCACCACCACTGAGTCTTCACCACCAC